ATTAGTCAAATAATTTATTTAATATGTCAACATTATTTGAATATGGATATGCAATGTACATAATTTTGTAATTGTTTATTTATATAATTTTTAATAACTATCTAAAAAAAGTTAATTTTTTAAATTTGTTTCCAATTACAAACACTTTTAATTTTGTTTTTTCCTTTTAAATATATAATCAATGTTAAAATATGGATAATTAATTAAAAATTTATATTTATAATCATTTGAACCTTATTTTATACAAAGGGTAAAATGGTAATTTTCTTAAATAATCAACATAAAATTATAATTTTTATATCTCATATCAATCAAATCATTCACAATTTCCCATAAACTTTCCTTTCACTTTTCATTCATCTCCCTTTCTCTTCAAATCCCTCCTTTTCCACTCTCTCATTTCCACTCCCTCAAATCACTCCAACCAAACAAAGCCCTAATCTTGACTGACAGGTAAGTGTATGCTTATACACCAAAATGAATTGAAAAAAAACCTTAATTAGTGTCATTATTTTTTTATTGTCAACTATGTCTAAGTGTGCGTTAAAAATTGGTAAAAAAATCATGAAGACATGACAGTTTGAAATGATTAGATAATTTCTGTAATTAGAAGGGAAGCATAATTAAAGACATTAAAGATTAGTATACTAAGAAATGTGTTTGGAATCATGAGGTCAAGGACTGTTCTCTCTCTCTCTCTCTATCTGTGAAGAGCATCTCAAAGTCTTGGAAGGTTCCAAACACAAAAGGACACATGGAAACGAGAAGCTCTTGCCCTTTTAGTGGTTGAAAAGCCCCACCAAGGGGTAACAGACAGTATGGGATAGTTACAGTCAGCTTTTCAAATTCATATGAACTTAAAGACAAGGAGATACCATTGCGATTACATGGATTTCTTGACACACTGTTCCTCTGATTTCCTCTGCTTATGATGATTATATTATAAAAGGGTCTGAACCCCATTTTTGTTAGCTTATGGCTTGTCAATGAAAGCATGAGGAGGTGTTATAGTTTGACATTTGGATCATGACGTATGGTCCTCACGTAGTTTTCTTCCTTGTTATACACAATTTGAAATTGTGTTGAATAACATAAAAACCACATGTAGCACTAAGATTGGTGCAACCATAGGATATTTGTACAGGGGATTAGGTTGGAATTTCAAATCCTTAACGTTAAGTTTGCATCAAACAGGCCACCCATAGCATTGGATCCCAAATAATGCCGTGAGAAAAGTCACCAAAACGTGTTTAAAGTTTTGAGTTGCAGCAATGGGAGTAGCTAGCTAGGAAACACAAGCTAAGTAAATGGTGGCACTAGCAGAAGCTAAAATATGAAGATGTGGAGTAATTACATACACAAGGAGAAAGGTGACTGGGAACATGGATGAGGTAGTACGGTCTTTGGCATATGATATGACTAAGATTAATGTCAACCCCTAAATTCTGGGGGTACGTGTGGTGTGATGTGAGGAACAGAGTACCTGATTTTATCAAGGATTCAGCACCCGTGACTCAACTCATAGTTTAGTTATATTTACCATCACTTCACTTGTTTCACCTACACTTCAATTTCTCTCTTGGTGTAAAAAAAATGTAATATACACACGTTTTTATAACTCAACAGACCCAACTAGTACATAACTCCCCAGTGCTGGTCCATCAGGGACCTACAAGATCCATGAATATTTAAATAGAAAAAAATAGGCCAAGTCTCAGTATTCTTCGGGGGAAGAAGATAAATCTAGACTCAGGACCGTGTTCAGAAAATTTTAGGCCTTAGATAAAATTTATAGAGATTTAATTGATATTAATTGTAAATTTAATATGATAACTATTTTTTGGTCTTTTAATTGTAAATTTATCAATTCTTATAATCAAATAATTACAATATTTTATTATTACAGACCAGATGATTAACCCATTCAACCTATTTTGTTATATTCTATCAAGAAAAACCACTTGACATTGAATAAACTCTAACTTTGTTTTCCTTTAGTTTTTATTTTTAATTCAAATACATTCTTTTTGTTTCAAATTTCAATTTAATAATCACTACATATGTTTCTAAAATTTTGATAAATAATCCTCTTTTAGAATGTAATAATATGAGTCACTTATCATTTTTTTTATTATCAATTATCATCTTATTTCCACATAAAAAATGATTGAATAAATAGAATAACAAATACTTAATAGTCAATTTGTCCATAAACAATGCAATGGAGATAATAATACAGCATGATTTTGTTTAAAAGATATATAATTAATTAACGAGAATAATCTTATAATAATATATTTTTAAAAAAATTACTTAAATAAATTTTATTTATTTAAATAGATCTATTTATTATTTATATATAATTTTTCTTTCCTTTCCCTAATTTTTTTCTCTCTTATTCATTTATTTTTCTATTTTTTTATCTCATTTCTTGTATCTTTCATCTCCCATTTCTTATTCTAATTAAAATTTATTATATTAAAATTTAATAATAAAATATTGAAATAAAATTTTAAAAAACAACATTAAAATTAAAAAAAATATCAACCAATTATTTAAAATTACGAGGATAATAAATAATTTTATTTAAGATTTAAAGTTATAATATATATATATATATATATATATATATATATATATATATATATGACAATATATATTATTATAATAAATAGAGATAATTGGATAAAAAAATTTATTTAAATATATTTTTTGAAATATATTATTTATAAAATATAAAAAGATATTATTTATTGTCATATCTTATAATAATTATTTGTGGAATATAGAAAAAAATATTTGTTTAAAAATATATTATCTATTATAAGAACCAAAGATATAGAAAAACAATTTTTAGTTTCTTATATAATATATTTTTTTATAACCAAACACATCAACAATTTTTTTTTCCAATTATTCTCCTTTTCACTCTTTCCTTTCTTCTTACAAAAAGGGTAGGTGAAAAGCATTCAGTTTCTGACTAGACAAACTAGACTCACAATTAACAACGTGGGGATATACTCAGTAACGTCTTTCATCTCATTTAACACTTAATTACCACAACACTTGTATCTTGAAGCTTTCATGACATATGCTTTTCTCTGGATTTGTAACTATTACTTCTTTCTCCTTGATTCTCCAAGAAACATATATATAAATGTTTTCTTTTATAATAGTTGTTGCTAAAGCGGCAAGAAACAAGTATTGTGACAAAATTAAAACTATGCTTATTTTATTAACTGCTTTTCCTTTACACTATTTTATTACATGTTTAGAATATGTTATCTTTTCCTATCATTCTTTATCAAAATCAAAATTTCGAATAAAGTTAGTAAATAAACTTCGATATATTTGGCATGATTAACTGAGAAATTGGAAAAATGAGCTCTTTTAACATTAAAGATTTAAAAAAAAATGTGATCTGACGATGATCCAGAGAAAAGTACAAGTCACACACACACACACAAAAACTAATCTACCAAATGTGCCTGAAACATAATTGTGTTTTTTCTTGTACAATTTTATTAATGAATATTCATGTTATATTTATTAAACTTGCTTTATGTTAATGAACTTCATAATAATTTTTTACAGTTTTTTTGTTAGTATTTTAAATTATTAATGAGATATCCTATCTAAAAATCGATTTTTATTCAATATTTTAACCAATTCATTTGTTTACAACATAACAAAAATATTTCCTCCCTTTTATTTTTATTTTATTTTTTTTAAACATTTTTTTTAAAACAAAACATACGGGAAGACCAGCTCACGATTAAGGATGACAAAATAGGTCGGACTCGACGAGCCGGCCAGTCATAATATCGTGGGATGAATTAATGTTTTCAACTTGTCGGCCGTTTTGGCTCGCTAAGCTCGCCAACCCCATGGGATAGGACGGGCCAGCCTACCGGTTCGCCTAATTAATAAAAAAATAAATTTTTATTATAATAAAGTTAATTATAAAAATAATATATAAAATTAAAAAATTAAAAAAGAGAATTAAAAAAGTGTACTCGTCACATAAAATATTCTTTTTAATGAAACACAATTTTCTCTCTCCTGTTCTCCTTATTTATCCTAATCACAGATTATTTTTATCCTTATGACTTAAATTAAAAGTGTAAGAATTACTCAACTGAAAATAATGTAAAGTTTTATCAAATAAAAAAAATATAGGTATTTAAATTTTTCAACATAAAAAATATAAAATTTATAAATTTTAATGTTATATATATATATATATTTGTTATTATTTGTTATTATGTAAATTTTATTATTATTCTCAATTAAAATTTCTTAAAACAATATATTGATTTATATTATTAATTTGAAATAATATATATATATATATATATATTGAATTACTCACAAACAAATAATAGTCTTATTATTAAATTTATTAAAAATTTTGATTTAAAAAAAAATATTTTTTTCTAAATTATGGACCAGTTACCAATCTACCCTTGGCAGGACAAACTCAGCTTCTACAATCCGTCATGACTATAATGGGTCAACCAACCTGCTCTCGCTTCACTTTTGACTGGTCAAAGGTAAAACATATTGACCCGTTTTACCATCGTCAAGTATGATCCTTCTTATTGTGTCATAAGAATATTAAAGGGGAAATGACGAGAAAAAAGAGATGCATGAGATAAGATGATTAATATATATAATAAAGTTTATTTAATTATAAATTGACAAATATTCATGTAATGAATATTGAATAATTATTTTTAATCAGTTAATAATGTAAAAGTGAAAATGATATATTGATTTATGGTACGAATCAACTAACTTTTTTTATAAAGTTAATAGCTAGATGCCTTCTATGGTGTACCTTGGCAGGATTATGCACATTATTAACCTTGTACAATTACACTAATTTTCACTAATACAAAGCAAAATAAATTCAGAATTGATAGTGAGTGAAGTGAGCGTTAAACATATATATTATATTGAGAGGATAATGCAAACACAATAATAACACAAGCATACCTCTAAGGAGCGTCCATTTCCGTCTCTTTCTTTTCGTACCTGTTGTTATCATTATCCTCAAAAAGAGTTTCCATTTCTTCTAACGTTTTTCCCTTAGTCTCCGGCATAAACACATAAAAGAAACCCGTAGCCACCACCATAATTCCCGCTAGCACAAAAAACATCCCTGCAAACGTTATTTTCTCCGAAATAGTCAAGAACGTCATGGACACCACCCCACTCACCAACCGGTTCACCGAAATCACAAGGCTCGACCCTTGGGCCCGAAGCCTCGAAGGAAATATCTCGGACGAGTACACCCACGTGATGGGCCCAAGCCCAATGGAGAAAAACGAAACATCCGCGCACACAGCGACAATGCTCAACACAACGGCCCACAGAGGCTTAGAAGTCGACTCTTCCAGAATCCTGGAGCCTAGGCCCAACGAAGACAGCGACACAGCCATCCCAAAGGTGCCCAATAGCAAAAGAGGCCTCCTCCCAAACCTGTCCAAGTAGAGCGCGGAAAGCAAAACAAAAGAACTCTTGGCAATTCCCATGATCACGTTAACCCCAAAAAGCTGTTTCTTGCTATGAATTCCGGTGGCTCTGAATACCTCCGGGCAGTAGTATATAACGGCGTCGTTTCCGGACGCCTGCATGAAGAAGTTAATCCCAATGGCAGTAACCAGCATCCGCCTAATGGGCCGAGTGGGCCGGATTAAAAGGTCTTTCCAAACGCCCTGTCCACGCCAATTGTCTGGGTTTGGGCCTGCAGCCTTGGTTATCTCGTGAAGCCTTAGTTCAGCTTCCTCCGGAGTTGTTGAAATTCTTTGAAGAACGCGTTTGGCGTGGGGGATTCTTCCTTTCATGACAAGCCAGCAAGGGGATTCGGGCATGGCGATGACGCCTAAGGCGATTGCAATTGCGGGTAAGCCTGCGAGGCCGAGCATCAGTCTCCAAGCAATGTGCTGAGAGAGGGAAGTGAGGGAGTAGTTGATGATGTAGCCGAGGAGGATCCCTACGGTGATGAACACTTCGGGGAGGGAGGTCAGGAAGCCTCGTGTCATGGCGGGGGAGAGCTCTGCGGTGTAGAGAGGGGCAATCATGAGGGCGTAGCCGACGCCAATGCCTGCCACCATTCGACCGCACAAGATGTATGCGAAGGAAGGTGCGAGTCCCATCAAGAGGGCGCCCAACAGGAACGTGAATGAGGCTAACACGATTGTGTAGCGTCTTCCGATGCAATCGGAGGTTTTGCCTGAGGCCAGTGATCCGATTAGAGAGAAGACGTTGAGTGTGCCTACTAGGATTTCTTCTTGGAGTGGCGATATTTTTAGGTTTTCTCTTATCAGCAAGGCGGCGCCACTCATAACCCCAATATCTGCATCCAATGGAAGGTTGTGATCGATCAAAGAAATGAGGGAAAAAGAAAATGGGGTGAGTGAGTGAGGAACTGACCGTAGCCGAGAAGAATGGAGGTGGCGGAAGCGAGAAGTGCGGAGAGGACTGTGAAGGTGTTGAGGCGAGTGGGAGAGGTTTGTCTGGCGTTGGCGTCCTCCATTGGTTGTGCGAGTGAGAATGAGAGTTGACAGAGTATGGAAAGAGAAGAGAAAAAAGAACACCACATAAACGATAATCCAAATCCAAATAATCAATTCTTTACCCATTCTCACCTCTCATAAGTCAGATACTATCTCCTCTTCAATACTTTCTTTTCTAATTGTACCAAATTACAAAAAATATAATTACATAAATATTTATTAAAATATAAATATTTAAAGATAAAACAGTGAATAAAATAAATAGTGTTAAAGCTTTAATGATATTAATGAAGAGACCAAGAAACTTGATTTTCACTCCATATTAGTAGGGATGACAAGGCAAGACAATGCGGAGCGGGCGGGTTTTGCCTTCCGATTTTCTCTCCGATCTTTTTAATCATCCTCATCTTCGTCCCCGATCCCGTCGGAGTTAGAAATTAAGTCTTCATCCCGTTTCTTGTTGAGTTTCGGGTTTCTCATTCCAGTCCCGTCCCGATCTATATTATTTTTAAAAAAATAATTATATTTATAATAAATTAATTTTACTATCTATTTTTTATATATAAATAAATATTTATAATTTTATAATTTATAATAATTATTAATTAAATATACATTTTAATTTATTATATTTATATTAAAATATGTATGTAAAAGAAATATTTAATCATTTTTTATTTATAACATTATTATTATTATTATAATACTTGTATTCAAATATTTGAATACTTATAATATTATCATTATTATTATAATACTATATTCAAATATTTTATTATATATAAGTTAATTCATTTTGAAGTTGTAATTTAAAAATATGAAATATATAGTTTATAATGAAATATTTAATAAGTTAATTATTATTCAATTAATTCAAAGTAATAAAAGTTTAAATTATCAATTCCTTTAATCCTTTAAAATACAATTATTTTATTAAGATAAAATTTGATATATGATAAATAAGAATAATAAGATAAACAAATGACATAATAAAACTTAATAAATATAAATTATAAATAAAATAATATTAGTTACTATTAAGATTTATGTAAAATATTTAGAAAAAGATAAAGAATAAAAAAATTAACTGTGTTCATCAAATTGATTGAAAAAAATGAGAAAAAAAATAAATTGATAAGAGAGATTAAGAAAATATGAAAAACTACAAGGTATAAGAGAGAATAATATAATAAATTAATTGATATAAAAGATTAAAAAAGGAAAAAAAATTAAAAAATTAAAAAATAGGTAGAAGAAAAATAAAAATTGGTAAAATATAAAAAATGACCTTATATGTAATAGAAAAAGAAAAGAAAATACTTTTAAAATATTAATATTTTAATATTTAAATTTAAATATAAAGTCGGGCGTGGACAGTCGGGGTCAGGGTGGGGATTGCATTACTCATTCTCGCGCTCGCCCGGTCAACTCGAGTTTTTCCGTCAAACTCGGGAGCGGACTAGTTTAATTGTCATCCCTAATGACAATTAAATTCGTAATCGTGGGGATCGAGTCATCTCCACCCCGAGTTTGATGGGGAAAATCCGAGTTGACTCGGAGATGGGGGCGAGTTCGGGTTTTTCCGCTTTAAAAAGTCGAGAACGGGAGAGGGGATGGGTAATGCCATCCCAATCCCGACCCATCCCCACCTCAACTTTATATTTAAATTTTAATTTTAAAATATTAATATTTTAAAAGTATTTTCTTTTTTCTTCTATTACAGGTCATTTTTTTATATTTCACCAATTTTTATTTTTCTTCTACCACTTTTTTATTTTTTTGTCTTTTTTAATCTTTTATATCAATTAATTTATTACATTATTCTCTCTTATCTTTCAGTTTTTCACATTTTCTTAATCTCTCCCATCAATTTATTTTTTTTTCTAATCTTTTCAACCAATTTGATGAACACAAAGTTAATTTTTTTTTATTTTTTATCTTTTTATAAATATTTTACATAAATATTAATAGTAACTAATATTATTTTATTTATAATTTATATTTATTAGGTTTTATTATGTCATATTTTTTTATTTTATTATTCTTATTTATCATATATCAAATTTTATCTTAATAAAATAATTGTATTTTAAAGGATGAAAGGAATTGATAATTTTAACTTTTATTACTTCGAACTAATTCCTTATAAACTATGTATTTCATATTTTTAAATGACAACTTAAAAATGAATTAACTTATATATATATAATCAAATGTTTAAATATAATATTATAAGTATCAAAATATTTTAATGTTATAATAATAATAATATTATAAATAAAAATAATTAAATATTTTTTTATATATATTTTTAATATAAATATAATAAATTAAAAAATATATTTAATTAATAATAATTATAAATTATAAATATTTAGTTATATATAAAAAATAAATAGTAAAATTAATTTATTATAAATATAATTATTTTTTTTTAAATAATATACATCAGAAATAGATCCGGTGAAAAACCTGAAACCGAAAAAAAAAATAAAAAACTTAATTTCTATCTCAACCAGAATTAAAAACGGGAATAAGATGATTAAAAAAATAGAAAACGGGATGAGGGAGCAAAAACTGACCCCGTCCCATCCCTCCCGTTGCCATGCCTACATGCTATGATAGAACCCATCGGTGTCTGTTTCTTTAGCTTCAATTGATACAATGAGAAACACGTAGTTAGGCAGTATCTAGTACAGGCTCTGCTTATGAGAAGAAGAAAAATAGAGAAATAAAAGTAGGATAAATGCAATAAATCTTTGTTAGGAAGAGTGAGGGGATTTGAAAGAGCCAAACAAAAAAAATGAAAAAATAAAAAGGAGAATGAAAAGTTTATTTACTTGGATTAAAAAAATAATAGAAAATGAATAAAAATATAAAATTTATAATTAGTTCTATTGATTTAAAATAATTAAATAAATCATTAAAATATTAATTGTATAACTTAATAAATTATTGAAATATTTTTACATAAAATTTAATTTGTATTTAAAATAAAATATAATATAATTATCATGAAGCAAATGTTTTTAATAATTTGAAATATATTACAAAATTATTTTAATTTTTTTGAATATTTTAAAAATATATATAAAAAATTATTTCAAAATATTATAATTTTAACGACAGATTTTAGAAAAGAACTAAAAATGCATTAAACCTGAAAAAAAAATATTATGATCTTAATGACAAAAAAAAGTACACATTTTATATTAATATTTGTGTACCATTTTAAAACTTTAACTACATATTTAAAAAATTATGAAAAGCAGAAAAAAAAATCACGTACATAAAAATAAATATAAATTAGTAAATAAGCATAAAATATAAATTTTGTGAAGTGGTTTTAATAATTATGTTGAAGGCTTCAAATTCTGTTATTCTACAAAAATTGAATTTCTATCATGAAAAGTCTTGATTTTCAACATGACGATGGTTATATAAAAAATATAATATATTTATGTAAAAAGAGTATTTTTTTTATGTTATATTTTTAACACTACATAATAGTGTAAATAGACTTTTTTTAATATTAAAAAATATTTAGATCTGACCTGTATAATATTTAATATTTAAAAGAGGGTAAGTTAGTATCTGTATAATTTTAGATGTATTTTTCTTGAAAATTCACTCACATTCACCTAAAACATGATTCAAATCCCTCAAACTCCTTTAAACCAAGCCCAAGTGATTTTACATTTTTTATTTCGAAAAAGATAAATGAATAAATTGAAAACAAATAAAAATATTATATAAATAACTTGTGGTATCAATTTTTTTAAATTCACCTTACTCTTTCATTTTTTTTAGTGTCTAAGAATTAATAAATAGATTTTTTATTATTAAAACTTACTATAAAATATATTATTAATGACGTTTATTGATAAACATTAATTTACTCTTAACTCCTTTCCCTTATTTCTTAACATTTTTTAGTAGAGGGTGAAAATTCAAACCATATTTTAGGAAAATATTATAAAGCATAGTTTGATCCGTATTTGATGATTAGTAACACATATTTTTTATAAATAAGAACACTTTTATAGATTTTTTTAATAAGAATCACTTAAAAATAAAAATAAATATTTGATTATAAATTTTATATTTTATTTATTTAAAATTAGAAGAAAACTATTAATACAAATAGTTTTGATGAATTTTTATATAATATTATAATGAAATTTTTATTTTTATTTTTAACCAACGAAATATCCTAAATAGCGATAGTAAGACAAGAGACACCTACTTGTTAGCATACCAATGCATGTCAAGTTAATGAGTCAACTGTTCCAGCCTTTTCCAACATGCCACTAACTACATGTCAGAACAACGCAATTTACAATGTGACAATCTCATCACAAAAACATATCTTCTTCCTCTTTTTACTATTATGGCAAATCCAAATTTTGACTTTTGATAATTTTTGCTATCAAGTATATGTTTCACTGTTTCAGTATTCATAACTGTTTTCGAGTATTTTAAAAACCTTGTTGACGAGTATATAGAATTTATTGTTTTCTAACCATTTGTTATTTTCTTCGATTTTTTATAAATTACATTTACGAAGATATTTGTATGGTTTTGTCAAGGTTAATTTTAAATATAATATGATGTGTATCTGTTGATAAAAACCAAATTGTGCAAGACGTTTTTCTCCAAACCGTTTATATGCATGTCTATCATTAGTTCAAGAGAGAACCATAATTTCATTCATTGATAATTAACAGCACTTTGATTTCTTTAAGAAATTTCTCCACAATACGACGACTTTAATCTGATTAAATAAAAATAATTTCAAAAAAATTTTTTAACAAAAATTTACTATATATATATTTTAATTCACCCATTTTGATAACTTGACATAATACAAGATATCATACTTAATTAAGGGTTTACCATTTGCATTTAATAATCTTATTGGCATGGTTAGTTTGGAAGCTCAATATTGATTTTGCTATCACATCTTAATCACATCACTAATGGTTTTAAATCCCAATGTTAAACTTTGAGAAGCACACCCCATTTCCATAAGATTTTTATGACATTAGTCTATTCTCATAACCGACACTAGGCTATTCTCTTAACATTTTTATGGATATTTTGACTTTATAATGTTTAGGAACGGCATCTTTGGTTCAATAAATAAAATAAACCTAAGGAACGAGGGAATGAAGAGAAGAACATGAACACATGCACTCATCTAATTATTTAATTTAACTCTATGTAATTCTTATTTAATTAAACTTCATATTACACATTTAAATTTTTAAAACATTTTATTTATATATTTATAAATTCTAGATATTTTAAATTTAATTGCAACAAATACGATTGTTAATACAATTAATTCAACTAACAATCAATAAATAGTAAAAAAATAAATTAAAACATTACTTTATTCTGTTTTCACACATAATACATTTCAAAAAAAAAAAAAGTTAGGTGTACACAAAACCAGCAAATTTGAAAAAGATATGTTCTTTAGAAAATATTTTTTATATTATTCATATATAAAATCCTACGCCGAATAACTATGTTATTATAATTTAATTATGTTTGTAATCATCATCTTATTAATTGAACGTGATTTGAAAATTCTGTGTAGGGCAGACATAATATGAAAACTATCCCTTGTTGATTTATTAAATTATATCTGACTCACCTAAGAATTGCAGCACTAAACCAGTAGAGCATAGACAATTTATGACATATATATAGTATGCACTTTTGAAGTTTAATAATAATCAGACACAACAACATTAAAAAATCTTATCTCATCAGATAAAACTGATTACATAAATCACACACTGCTACTAAATACCAAACATTCAGATATGTTATTTATCAGTTGAATGTTTGATTATTTTTTTATCAGACAGAGTGACTGCTCTTTACTAAACCTGTTTAACAATTGCCTTAACAAAACACAATCAAAATTTTAACATCGTTAAGGTGAGGCAAATTTTAGAGGGGTTAGTCAACAATAAGAAGAAAGCAAATTATCTTTCTCCAAATCTATCTATTACACTACAACTTACAAAATATCAAAAGAGCAAAAATATTCGAAATCTGTGATCAATCAGTTTTTCTTGTGCTATCAATCTCCTCATCAGAATTGACCTCCCTTTTCATTCGTAGAATGAGATGATGGAAACCATTTTTTCCAAGGTGCATCCTTCTGTTGCTCCAACCATGACAGAAAAGCACTATCCAGCAAGCAGAACAAGTTCACATAGAGAAGCTGGTACTTCACAGGAACATAACTAAAGTTAAAAACCTGCACTACTGGCCACACGCCACCTTCTAAAATCAGGGCTGGGACATAATTCCTCTTCAAGTCTTCCTTCACTTGAGGAAGATTCTTGCCAGCACATAATCCCATGTAAGTAAAGAAGACAAACAAATGGATGGGACCAAAAATTATGCCATCCATTGCCACTTTAGTGGCCACAGATCTCACAGACTTTGGCATTAATTGAAGCTTAAACCTTATAAACTTGTCCAAACCTTCATACCTACAAGACATGAAATTTGGTTCTATGTAAGTAAAACTCCTTTAGCAGCATGAACTATAACTTGGCCAATAATTATTTTCAGAAGCACTAGTCTTTAAGCTTGTTGGTGAAATAATTGTCACACGTATCATTCTTAAAATCCCAAATCAATCAACTTGAACCTAGCTCAATGCATTCTCCACCTAATGTCTTCTGAAATTACAACCTCCTTTGAACAAAAGCTACATATCCAATACATTTGAACTTAAAGCTCTAAAGAGTTAACATGCTCTTACTTTTTTACCCATGGAAATATGTTGACTCTCTATAAATAGGTGGAATCCACTGGTTTCAAGTGCGTTCCAGTGAACATTTACTAATAAGAAAAACTATGTATAATGTAGATGGTATGATATGGGCAGCAAATACTTCAAATGATATATGCACATGATTTAAAACTATTGTCCCTATTTACCCGCTTGTTTATAAACTTTTTAATTCAGTTCATTACTATTCTCACCTCATAACCTCCGAAAGAAAATTCCCCAGTAATTTTAATGATTCAAAAGGTCTTAGTAGCAGTTATGAAACCAACATCTTAGGCAAAGTGGAATCCATGAATTACCATCCCAGATTCACATCCCACAAATTATAACAACAAAATGTATGCAAAAGCAACTAATAGTTGCTTCAATGACGCACGTCAGAAATGCAGTGATGGGAATCCAATCACACAGTAAGAGCGTATTCCTAATTCTGATGCACTTATTGCAGAAAATCACAAGGGAAGACTCCTTGGAGACATGTATAAAAAATTGGATGCAATCTCATTTTGTAACAAACTGATCTCCAAAGTCCCCAGTCCCACATAAAAGATAATACTTGTTCCATTACTTCACAAATTCGAATCTTATCTCACTGATATGATACCTAAGCTTTTCTTTAAAGGTGAATAACATGATCGCTTATAAGATAAAGATCCACCATTCTAAAGACACAAATTGAAAAGTCGGCACTACTGGGAAGCTAGTAAATAAACTGAACAAGATAGGATTCACAAACCAGAAGTGTCCAACTGGTCCAACAAAACCAAATCCAAACATACTTGTAACAGCCATGCGGTTCCAGTTGATCGTAAACTTAGCATCTGAATCCTACCAAATCAACATATAATTTTTAATTGACAAGAAATCTTATCAGTAGTAAATAAATTAAAACCATCCAAGTTAAAGAAAAGAAATGCACATGCATCCTTGTCTTCCCAGACAAGGCGAATTTATTAAACCAACACGAGATAAGTCAAATATCAAAATCAATAGAGCTCGAAATCAAGATGGTGATGTGTACCACCACTTAAGCCGAAAGATTCGTTGGGTATTAATGGTATCAGATTTTCATTAAAATCAGCTTACATTTTCCATTAAAAATACCAAAAAAAAAAACACATTTAGAAATGCAAGCCACGTTAGTTAAAACACAAGCAATTGGGAATCCAAACCATGTTAGCACTTCAACATCTCATATTTTTAGTATATGTTAACATAACAACAATACCAGATCAGAAGGCAGTGCTTGGAGCAAGAAGGCAGGAAATTCATATGAAGTAAAAAGCAGCAGAGGGAGATATGAGAGCGATTGAAAAATTCCAGTGATTAGAAAGAGATGTAAAATTTCGCTTATATAAAAAAGGGAAACGGGTCGTTACAGAAAGTTGAAGTCGTTTTTTTGCAGCTGAATGAGTGATGTACTGAGCAGTGAGGTCTCCAACACCCCAGAGGATGGCAGAACTGGCGACTTGGGTCTTCACGGGATGAACAGAAAGACAATTCTGGTACCAGTTCCACACCTTCAACATCATCTTTCTTCTTTATATTCCTGTTTTCTCCACCAACGTAGGAAGCAGATGATAGATACGAGGTCGTGGAAGCAAAACAAACCAAGTTTGGTTCGGTAAACAGTGTACTCAGATAGAAAATGTTGTAGATTTTGGAGCACTTGCTTTATGTTGGGCTCGGGCTTGTCATCACTAGTTAAAATGGGCTATAACCACAAAAAATCCCTCCCATCCAGGTTTAACACATATATTACACTCGAATGAAACATGACAAAATAAAACATCATAAAAGTTACTTATTTGTGGGATAAATGTTATCAGAAGTGTTTTACGAGAATAAAAAGAAAAAAAATCGAAAATATCTTCATAAATAAATTAATTTATATACAAATTAAAAATTAATTTTTGTTAGGGTTAATATGAAAAAGTTCTGTAAATTAATTTACGGAAAATTTTGTTCACTATTTAAACTTCATCTATAAAAGTGTTTTTAATAAGTTTATACAGACATATCCTAATTAGAAGAGAATGTAAATAAAAGAAAAATAAATTACGCAACGTCTTAATATATTTTAAATTCCTAAAAATTAGTATATTTTGGTTTTGGTTCTTCTAAAATTTGCAATAATTATCTTTAATCCTTCCAAATGAAGAATTTTGATTTCACAGAGATTATCACAATATATTATTAATCAAAGTAACAACAATTAAGTCTTCTTTCAATGATAAGATATTATTAAGTGATAAGTCTTGCAGAAATGAAATTAAAAAAATCTGGAATGTGGGTTTCCGCCAATAGATTACGTGGTAAATTTTGATCCTCCGAATAGAGTGCTGGCGTGGCCTATTCCACTCCTTCGGTCTTCTTCTCATGTTTTGTCTTTTCCCCCTTCCAAGTCTCAGAAAAGTGACCCGAAATCTTATTTCGATAAATTTTGTCGACAAGAATGTCCAGTGTATGCCACGCATACAAAACACACTACACTCCAATTGGATCTTCTAGAATTTTTCATGGAAATTAGTCATGTAGAAACAAATAAAATTGACGAGAGACATTGTTATCTCCTTAAACTAAATTCATATATATATATATATATATATATATATATATATATATATATATATATATATATATATATATATATATATATATATATATATATATATATATATATATAAAAGATTTGATGAGTTGAAATTAAAAAAACTAAAATAACTGTTTCATCAACTATTTGACTAAAAATTCATTTAGGTCATAAATTGATAACAAGGTACTCCACAAATACAATTATAAGCAGGCTCTCTGTTTCGTTGACAACGAAACGAGACTAGCCTTGTCTGCACAGAAGCCTCGCCTCCAACCACTCTCCACATACCATTCATCTCTCCACTGCGCTTCACTGTCTTTCTCCATATCATTGCCTGCAAAATCTCTCCCCATAATCATAATCTTTTCTGTAAAATTTCAGATTCTCAATGCCATCACAAATCTCTTACACCAAACTGCCTAAGGACATTTGTAATCTTGAGTTGCCCCCACATGCTAGCAAGAGAGAACGAGCTACTTGAGACTCTTGAAGACTAGGTCCTCTTTCATTCTTTCGAGCCATTACTCATAAAGAAGAATCGAAAAGGGTGTTAGTCCTTGAACCCAGAATATTGGCTTGTGCTTGTAGAAAAAGTTTCTGAACCTGAATCAAATCCTTAAGTGGTCTTTGAAAACATATTTTGCCAAACCACACTCTCCGTAATCACCTTCTTAAGTTCCTTTTTGCAGTTACTTGAAGAACCACCAGCATAATTCTCTAGTCTTTGAAACCCCTTTGGATTACTTTGTTCCTCTAATGGATTAGTCTGCGTTCTACCAATCCTGTTTCCATCATTTCTGTCTCTTTCTTAGTCTGTTTTCTCCCAAAAGTAGCTGTATGCCGCGAAGCCTTCTCTTGCAACTTATGAAGCATGCTTTGAGAATCTTGCCGACCAAGTGCTCCTTTTCAATTACCTTTTGCAATATCTTCGGACTTTCTTTCACACATAATATCTCCAGACCATGAATCTAGATGTTATTCCAACTATGATCCTCTAAGGAGACCTGAGATTTTCATCACATCCTTTGGCATCCTTCTTCTCCTCTTTGTATCTGTTATTGATCAATGATGTCTCCAAGTTTTCACTTTCTTCTGGATTTTTGTCTTGTCCTTCACATTACGGGAAGGGATCCCGTATTTCCTGATTGTTCCACATTCTACAACTCCTTTTGGATCATCATATTTCAGAAATGATCTATGCATGACTTAGATATTATAGTCTGTCATAAATTTCAAATACAAACCGAGAAGCTGCTTATATTCTAAAACACTTTCTAATAATTTTTTTTAGAGAATACTAACATGGTCTATTCCACTGGAGTTTCACTGCTTTATAGCACACATACAATACTTGTTTACCACTTTCTCCCACTGAAACATATGCAATTAAGCATTTAAATAAGCACTTAAATAATCAATTCCCATCAACAATGTCACCCAAAATAAAGACACATCAAATAAACATAATCAAAGGAGAAAAAACATGTCTGCATCATGATATTTAACACTGAATTGTCGACAATCTAGTTGTACAATTATCCAATTTTGTTCTCCCAGCGAGCATTGAGTGAACCAATAGTAAAATCATGATATATAATACACAATTATGTAAGAAACATGGAAAAGAAAAATGTAACACCGGTTGAAGATTTATCAATAAAAACACAAACTCCCACTTTTAGATTTCTTTACACAAACTGCCAAAAAGAAAAGTTTTGACGTCAGACATCCAAGGAAGGATAAAAGCAGCACAAGTTCTCAAACCTGGCAAAGGAGAGAACTCTTAGGCGGCCACTGCAAATGTTTTGAGAAACAAGCGTTTGGATTTTTCATCATAGATTATTTTATATATTATCACTTTTTTACTAAAAATTAACAAGTTGGACGGATAATTATTAGATAGATTTGTAAAAACAATCTCAGACATCCAAGGAAGGATAAATGCAGCATTAGCTCTCAAGCTCGGCAAAGGCGAGAGCTCTTAGGTAGCCACTGCGAATGTTAAGAGAAACAAGCCTTCAATGGTATCATCACAGACTACTTATTTCATAACAAAAAAATTGAAACAACAAAAATTAATACAAATTGAATAAAATTACAGAACATGAATTTCAACATTATAGAATAATTATTCCATCCTATAGTGATCAGCAAAATATTTACAGAAACAGAGCTGCCAATGTGAAGAGGATGTAAGAATTGCATGTAAGGGACCTGTTCATCCCTAGAGCACTCGGACGCACTGCTAAAGGGGCAGACGTAAAGTGCCAAAAACATAACAGGTCAGATGATAAATGAAAAGCAAACATGCAAATATTCAAGATTGAAACTGAGATGTTATATATAATCAATGAAAGTGTCATCAGATAGGAGCGAAAAACTAAAACTATATATAATAACAGACAAATCATCTGAACTATGCTTATGATCGTCATTTGACCCTTCCAAGATAATGATAACACAATAACTAGATCAAAAGGGCAGAATTACGATGTCCGGCAGATGAAAAAACAATCAAATTCAAAAATCCTACATCACCTATTTTCATCATTGCCGATACAAAGCACAGATAATTTAAAGCTTCATGAGCTAACATTGACCAACGAAATCACAAACAAAACTTAAACTAAATAAAAACACAACGAAACACACAAATATTCAAAAGAAAAAACGTCGATGAAACATATATAGTAAGTTGGCCTCATAGAGAAGATTAGTTTGATCCACATAGAGTAGTTCAGACATATGCTTGTCTATTATTTTGTATTTAATCATAGGCCGATCAAAGAGATCGAGACTGCAAAACGAAATTAACATGGAAGAACAATTGAGAAAAAGAGTCAGAAACACTAATCGAAAGAAATTTCAAAGGGAAAAAGAAGTGGACGAGGAAGGGACTCAGAATATGGGTGGTGATATAGCAGGATGGTCGGCAAGGCCGATTAGGCCAATTACGACGAACGAGACCTTATCAAATAAATCGTCACAGTCCAATTCGATTTGGTGTCTAAGAACACTTCAACAATCAACAAGTAACAACCAATCCTCCGAATCAGAAATAAAAAATGAATAAGAGAGAAAAGAGATCGGTTCTTCCCGATCTGAAATGCTGGCGGAAACCCTAACCTCTTAGTGAGTATGTAGAGAAGGTGCAAAGAGAGTGCTTATGAAGAGGAGTGGAAATTGAGAGTTAGGGTTTTGGGTGTGACGGAGATGTCTCCTCACAATGCGCACTTGCTTGATGTGGGGCTTGGGCTTGCCATCGCTGGTTAAAATGTGTGGGATAAATTTTATCAAAATTGTTTTTACGCAATGAAACCGGACCTGACTCAGTAAATACATATATTCAAAATTTAAAGGTTCGAGTGTAATTTGTAAATAGATATCTATTACAATAAAATATAACTACAGTATAATAATTATTTAAAATTAATATAAAATTAAAATATATTATATTTTTTTTTATAAAAATTATATTAAAAAAATTAATATTAATTTTTTTATTGAAATTGATTCACTAAAAAAGTCAATTAATTTTTTTAATTATATTAATTTTATTTCGATTTAATTAAAATTTAATTATTTAAAAATAATAAAAATGTCTCTAAATCTATTAAATAAGTCACTCCGTCCAATTTTCAAAATATTGGTTTTACAATATTAAATAGAAGAAAAACAAATCAAAAATATCTTCATAAATAAATTAATTTATATACAAATTCAAAATTACCTTTTTTAGTTTATATACAAATTCAAAAGTACTTTTTTTAGGGTTAATATGAAAAAAGTTATGTAAATAAATTTATGGAGAATTTTGTTCCTTTTTTTAAACTTCTGTTTTAAAGAAAGATTATACAGACATATCGTACTTAGAAAGAGAATGCAAAGAAAAGAAAAATAAATTACGCGACGTCTAATTATATTTTAAATTCCTACAAAATTAGTAAGTTTTGGTTTTGGTGCTTATAAAATTTGTAATAATTATTTTTAATCCTTCTAAATGAAAGAAATTTGATTTCACAGAGATTATCACAATATATTATTAATCAACGTAACAACAATTAAGTCTTCTTCCAATGATAAGATATTATTATTAAGTGATAAGTAAACAAGGTATACCCGAGTGAATGAAGTCTTTTAGAAATGAAATTGAAAATCTGGAATGTTGGTTTCCAGCCAATAGAGTACGTGGTAAATTTTGATCCTGCCAATGGAGTGCTGGCGTGGCCTAATCCACTCCTCCAGTCATCTTCTCACGTTTTGTCTTTTTCCCGTCCAAGCCTCAGAAAAGTGCCCCGAAATCTTATTTCGATAAATTTTGTGGATAAGAATCTCCAGTGTATATCACACACACAAAATCCACTACACTCCAATCGGATCTTCTTCTAAACTATGTAACATAACTTCAGTTCTAACTTTGCAGGTCTAACTTCCACCATAAGCTTCTCAACTGCTAAGTTAAGGTGCTAGCGTTTCCTGCCCTTCAAACTTGTCACACTATAATTTGCTTCTGAATCATCATAATGTTATTTTTAATTTTTACGTTTCACTGCCTAGCTTTAAATTCGATGTTGATTAAAACGGGCGAATTTAGATTCCCCAGTTGGATTTGGTCTTTTAATTATTTGTTGGGGCTCTTCAATTATTGTATAAAGTTGGACTGAGATGTTTGACAAATGGTGCCATTTCTTGGAGCTTCAATGATCAAATTGGGAATTCATGATGGGGTGAGAAGCATCTGTCTGTGGTTTATAATGTGGCGCTGAAAAGATGACGTAGTCATCTTATTGATATTTCAATTCTATGCTCAGTCAAGTTATGATAGGGTGTCTATTTGTTCGTTTTGTATTATAAATAGCAAATTCCCACGATCCAATTCCGCGTAAAACTTCTAAAGTTCCCACCCCTAACATAATGTTGAGTTGTGGATTTTGTTCTGGACTGTTTATTTAGGGATTAGATTCTGTGCACTAGTTTGTTAATAAAATGAAGATTTAATGTGACTGATAGAGGGGTTTACATAAGGATTTTAAGGAATGATTATTCCATTTTCTCTTTACAACTTAGATTTTTTCTAGTTGTTCCATTTTCCCTTGACAACTTACATTTGCCTGTGACCATGCAAAAGTACACCTTGGCACAGATTCTCCTTCTACAGATGCTTGGACAGTAGATTGCATTTAGTACTCTATATCAATTTGACTCTGTTGGGCAACTGCATAGCATTTGTACTCGCAAATTTTTATCTTGTACATGATTAGTTTTGTTATTTCTGGATTAATGTCATCGTTCTTTTTATTCATTTGTGTTTCTGAATGCGCTAGATGATGATAGCTTTCTGAAGTTGATTCTCTTGTATCTCTTGTATGGGCCTGATACTATCATCCAGGATGAGGCATGTCCGTTATCATGTACCAGTAAAATAATAGCCAGTAATCATGCTAGGTCTCGCAGCCAGAATCTGATTCTGGCCAGGGTAGAAAGGTGGTTTGCTGAGGCTTTCGGAAGCAGTCAAGGTAGTTCTTTGTATTGGATCTGGTCTAGCCATCAGTCATGGATAGAAGCCATAAGGGAGCCCTCATGAGCAATAAAAGCACTAAACATTTATCAGTTATGGTATTGTGAATTACTTAATTTTTTTTCTCATGAGATGTTATAGAATCCTGTGAGTGTATAATAACATTAGCTATGATCTGTAATTAGCCTTAATTATCCCTATGATCACAAAATACCAATTTATAGAAATACACGCCTTCCCAAAGAATCTATTTATGCGTTAATCATTCTTGAATTCTTACATGTTATTTGGACTTGGTTTTAGAAGAAAATTTCCACCTATTTTTTTTTTTTATCGTAGAAATTGTAACACATCTAAATTATAGTATAATTGGTTCACTCCCTTAGTTAGCCAACTTGAATTTCTAAGTTAGACTAAGCTGATAGTTATGTATGTAATCAATCTATGTTATCATATTTTTGTTAGTATAATAATTTATGTTCTTCTGGTAAATCAGAATCATATTAATGATCTGATTGAGTGTTTTGGGTGACTTCCATTTAAATTCATTACCGAAATGTCCATAAGATTGATAAAGATTTACAGCAGGTTCTCAACCAGCAGCCGTACAAGAAGAACCAACCTAAATTAAGCTCTACACCGGACGAGACACATATTCAATCCCACTGTCTTATCTGCAGGGGGAAAAACAGTTGTCAAACAGTTCTTTCTAGAACGAAGCTGATGAACACTTTGATTGGAAAAGGGAAGCCACACGAAGCTCAGACCGTCTTCAACAATTTGACTGAAGAAGGGCATAGGCCTACTCTCATAACATACACAGCTCTTGTGGCTGCTCTAACCCGTCAAAAGCGTTTCAAGTCTATTCCTGCACTTCTTTCTAAAGTTGCAGACAATGGGATGAAGCCTGATTCAATACTTCTTAATGCCATGATCAATGCCTTTTCTGATTCTGGCAAGGTAGACGAAGCCATGAAAATCTTTAAGAAAATGAAGGAGTATGGATGTAAACCAACAACTAGTACTTATAATACTCTCATTAAAGGATTTGGAATTGCTGGAAGGCCTTATGAGGCTATGAAATTGTTAGAGATGATGGGTCAGGATGAAAATGTGAAACCCAATGATAGAACATATAATATTCTCATTCAAGCCTGGTGTACCAAAAAACAACTTGAAAAAGCATGGAATGTTGTGCATAAAATGGTGGCCTCTGGCATTCAGCCAGATGTGGTCACGTATAACACGATGGCAAGGGCATATGCTCAGATTGGTGAAACAGACAAAGCTGAAAGGTTAATATTGAAAATGCAGTACAACAAAGTAAAACCTAATGAACGAACTTGTGGTATCATTATAAGTGGTTATTGCAAGGAAGGTAATATGACTGAAGCTTTGAGGTTTCTATACAGAATGAAGGAGCTTGGTGTGCATCCAAATCCAGTAGTTTTCAACTCGCTTATCAAAGGATATCTAGACATTACAGACACAAATGGAGTAGATGAGGTGAGTTCTGATATCTGAAATTTTTTCATGAGATCAATATTTTCTTGCATGCATTTCCCTCCACTTTTCTGACACAAAGAAGGAGCATTAACGTAATAGCAAGATTATTAATAATCTAAGATAAGAACTTTTTGTTGCGTGTTTATTTTGTGCATGTATTCAGTATCTATATAGTATTGTGATAAAAATAGTATCGTAGTAACTTACAAATGAAAGTTGATCAGGCACTGACATTGATGGAAGAATTTGGAATCAAACCTGATGTAGTCACATTTAGCACCATCATGAATGCATGGAGTTCTGCAGGGCTTATATATAATTGTGAGGAGATATTCAATGACATGGTCAAGGCCAGTATAGAACCTGACATCCACGCATATAGCATCCTTGCAAAAGGATATGCACGTTCGGGACAGTCACAAAAAGCTGAGGCTCTTCTGACTTCCATGAGCAAATATGGTGTACAACCAAATGTGGTGATCTTCACTACCATCATCAGTGGATGGTGTGCAGAAGGAAATATGGATCGCGCCATTAGACTTTATGAGAAAATGCATATTGTGGGAATTTCCCCAAATTTGAAAACTTATGAAACCTTAATATGGGGATATGGAGAAGCAAAACTGCCATGGAAAGCAGAAGAGTTACTTAATACAATGGAAGAGAGGGGTGTTGTCCCTGAAACATCCACTGTACAACTGGTTGCTGATGCTTGGCGTTCTATTGGTTCATTCAAAGAAGCCAACAGAATTCTAAGTGGTTCAGAAGAAGAATGTGAGTTAGATAAACAATTTGATAGTGACAAGATATCGGTGCAAAGCTTGGAGAGGATTTATACGAAACAGAAATTCGGTGCATCTCCTTCAAATCTGCTCCAAATACCTGATGTAGTGGCACCTCATTCAGAAAGAACGACTAATGGCAACATAAGAAGCCAAATGGTTGTCCAAGTATCTGACAACATGCGAAATATTACCACTTCCATGTTTTTTATTCGTACAACAAATTCATATGGAGTAAAAGCACATATTGTAAGTAAACAGCAGATTCAAAATCAGGTTGTTAGGCCATTCCTTGACTGTTGCGGAGTAGTGTCGATACTTTGCTGAGGTGACTTTCCTCTGTGATGACCACAAAGTGATTGAAGATGAAACACAAACCCTGTCTGAATACATATGTTTGCTTCCATCACAGTAAACCATGCCAATGACTTCAGGTGGAAAAACTGTAGATATCATTCACGGACTTAAGAAATCAGAACCTACACTTTCAATTTTGACAAAATGCGGGTGTAATTTCCATCTGTGAACTGCTGCCAATGAAAGGTGTACGCTACAAGACTACTAAATTCGTTTATTTGTGTTGTTGTGTACACTGAACATTGTTGGGAAATCTTACTTTCATATGAATATATTACTTGTAAGTTGTAAGGAAAATACCGAAAATCATAGAAAAAGAACCATATCAATTTGATCAAATCGCACGGGACCAACTTCTTGCTTACATCATAAATGAGACGACACCATAATTAAATTCAATGTTTAATTGCATTCTTAACCCTTCAACAATTACTGTGTTTCCAGTTCTTTCATAAATTTTTCCTCAAAATTAATATTTTAATTACTATAATCAAAATTTTAAACCCACAAAAATACAGAGCTGAACCAGACAAATCATTTGCGTTTGAATCACCAATGCATATCGATAGCAAGATAAAACTGATACTGAAATGGACTGTTCTTAAACCTCAAAAGTAGACGGGGGAGGACTAAGTAAGCTTTCAAGTGTACAATTTTCAGTGTAAAATAGCAAAGGTAGCATATAATAGCTTTTGTAACTTTTATTCTTTATTTGGTGATCCAATTCATTGAACTGTTACTTCAGGTCCATGGCTGGACTGCAGATACATAAATTACACATTTTTCCTCCTTTTTCTACCCTCAAAAGTTAATGAATTCAGAATACCTAATTCAATATATGCAATATAACATAAATATATATATATATATATATATATATATATATATATATATATATATATATATATATATATATATATATATATATAAATAGTTCATTCAACTACCTCAAAATCCGCAGGTATGAAGAGTTACAAGTCACTTGTGCAATTGTTGGATGTCATTGACTCCAGATGAAATTGCAAGAGCAACCTTTATGATGTCCAATGTGGTTAAGATGGTGATCCAATTCAACAGGTATCAAAATAATAGATGGCCAGATCCTCCACCTTAGCATAAAAAACCTGTCAGAGAGATTGTTTAATCAAGTATGTAACACGAAGAATAGTGAATTGACATAGATAAACTATGAACCTCAAACATTTAAGACCTTGCTACCAGTATTCAAAGACAAAGTGAATCAGGATGAAAAATATTTATTTACTTTAACTTTTGTAAACCTTATGATATGTGGTACTTCATTCAAAGATATTCCCCCCATTTTCTTTTTTGAAAAATAATGAAACGCACAGGCACCCTCGTCTATGATCAGTACAGTAATGGTAAGCAATGTGCAGTATGGTGACTCTACAAGCAAGAATGAAAATGCCAAAAACAGACCATATTCGTTTGAAAACTATAGAAAGTACTAGACAACCAAACTGCTAGAAAAGGAAAGACAGGTATTGAGGTTTTAACTCATCTACATGTGAAAATTTCTGTATATTTAACCCCTAAACATACTCAGAGAAACACTAAATTTAAACACTTTTTTAATAAAAATTAGAAGTTTTTATTTAATACATCTTAAGAAAAGCTATCTTTTTTATTTTTCTATCTACATAGGAGACTCAGTTTCGTACATTAATCTATTTGTGTTAATTCGATCACCAAAAACTCGAATTTATTAATCTTTAATCAGATAATTTATTTTATAATTTTTAATTTAAATCTAGTAATATTTTTTTAGATAACTTTTGAATCATTATACTAGTTTATTTGTTACATACATTGAATTATATATTTAAGGCATAAGACACATTACTTTTATTTTAATATTTTTTTTATATAAAATAGTAATAAACAAATATATGTAAAGATTTATAAGAAAATGCGATATTACTAAATTAATTCAATCTCAATCACACGTTTAATCTAACAGTTCTTCTTCTACAAATGAACATTCACCGATTTGAAGAGGAGAGGATCCATTTTCCCATTTAAGACATGTTTATTTTCTTTGGTAAATTTAAATTGAGGGATTTTTTTAACTTCTTGATGAAGTATTATTTTTAAAAAAATTTAAAATTAATCAATCTCTTCATCTATAATATTATATATGACAGATTGTAAAATAAAAGAGATTGAATTTTGTAAGTATACAATTTTTATTTTATTTTATCTATAATATTTATAACTCCTTTTCTAATTTTAAGTGTTTTTTAATAATAATATTTTAGTTATTTTTAATCGCTTTTTTAAATATATAGACATGTAAGTACAGTAATACATATGTTTGCTCAAGTCTTAAAGAAATATATATTAAGAAAATGAGAAAGTCATTTTTAAAATGATATTCTTCAATTTTATTGAAAAAAAGTGGAATTATTCTGTACTTAGTTTTATCATTATTGTTAGTAAAATAAAAAAATTGCAGATAGAAATTGACAGAAGTAAAAAAGACAAACACTATAAAAAAAAATTATTATTTTAACATTTTTATTATTTTCGCTTACCTTGGTAACGTTGGTGTATCGAACTCCAACCACAGCCAACAAACCAACATGACTTCTCTCTCGGTCTTTCCATCACTCCCATCGCTTCAAAACCCTAACCTCACTCATCCCCACCTCTCCAATTTCATCTACTTCCCTTTCAATTCCACGCTTTCTTTCGCTCCACTCTCTCGCCGTAAATTCCTCTGCAAAGCGTTCAGGGATTCCGGCGAGGACATCAAAGCGGTCCTCAAGTCAGACGACGGAGGCGCTGGCGGAGACGGCGGTGGAGACGGTGGAGGTGACCGGGACGCGGAGAAAAAAGAAGGGCCTTTGCCGGAGTGGTTGAATTTCACTTCTGATGACGCCAAAACAGTGCTTGCGGCTATCGCAATTTCGCTTGCGTTTCGCACCTTCGTAGCGGAGCCTAGGTACATTCCTTCGCTGTCCATGTATCCTACATTTGATGTTGGAGATCGAATTGTTGCTGAAAAGGTAGTCTTTTTGTTCCTTTACCTTCTAATTTCAAAAGGGTGTTGTTCAATTGTTCATGAACTGGTTATTAGGCGTGTATATTCATTTAGAACTGTAAATTTGACTATGTTCAGCTAGGATTTGGCACTTTTACAGCAAGGAGAATACGCTTTAGAGATAAAATGTACTGGTAATTAATGATTAAAAAATCAATTTTTAAACTTGAGAGTGTAGTTCAATGTGTTTGATCTTTATGACAATCTCAAATTTAATTTTTTAAACGTCGAACGCAATAACACTTTATCCTGTGGAATTATACTCTTCTCAGTTTAATTGAAACATGATGAGATTGACTCAATGTCGAAATGAACTACTACACCAAAGAAAAGGAATAAGGAACAAAACAGTCCAGACAACATCTTGTGTGTGTGGATATGGCTATTCCCTTGATTTTCCCATCAGCATCCGATTAGGCTTTGTGCTCTGATTTATGGTGTGTCTGTGTGGAAACATAGTTGAGGTTTTTACTTTTTAGAGACACTACTTTTCCAACTATTGACTGATATTTTCATGAAATGTTGAGGTTTCTTATCTTTGTAAGTGCTAGTGATTGAAATAATGATTCTCTGAACAAAATTCTAAACTGTTTAAGATTCTTATGTTTGTAAAGCATGAATCTAAAACTTTCTTATTGTGAGACATACACAAGGTTATGGGGATTATGGTAGACTTTTGTACTTAATTGGTAAATTCCTAGTTTCTTTTTGTTTTGTTGAAACAGATTATTCACCGGCTTAGAGTTTTGCAGATAATAGTTATTTTACCTTTGTACTTGTACCTATTTATTGTGATGAGAAGAAATATTTAATGTTGAATTTGACTACTTCATAAAATATATATGAATCCGTAGGCCTGCATACTTGTGAGAATCATCTAACATTTAAATATGCTCTTTAAATAGAACTTGACATCAGCATTCAACTAGACTTGCTTTCTGTTATCATGCATCTTCATTGTAAAGATACATGTTCATGCTTTCAGGTTTCTTACTATTTTAGAAAACCCTGTGCAAGTGACATAGTGATATTTAAAAGCCCTCCAGTGCTTCAAGAAGTTGGATATAGTGATGACGATGTTTTTATAAAGCGTGTGGTTGCTAAGGAAGGTGATACTGTGGAGGTAAGATCTACTGAGAAGATCATTCATACTCGTATTTCATGATGTTATTATCTTTTGACGATGTTACATTCATAGTCCTGTTATTATCTTTTGTTTGTCCATACCTTAGCTTTTCCACTTGCATGCTTTCTTGTTGAGGGAAGTTTATTCTTTTCTAATTTTCCAAAGTTGGGTTAGTTAGATAGTGGCTACTGATTGTTAGATATAATTGGAACTTGAATGTCTGCATGAATAGCATTTATAATTTAAGCAGATTCTTGGAGTACTTGATCCATCGGCTTAGTCTGCAATGTGACAAATTGAATTATTTGCAGGTCCGTAAAGGGCATCTTATAGTTAACGGGGTTGAGAGGAATGAAGACTACATTCTTGAACCTCCTGTATACGAGATGAAACCCACAGTAAGTTATATCTTTCTAATATGTTGGCTCTGGTTTTCTTTTCCCTTCCTCTATTGATGCCAAAGAAACTACTTAGTACGAGTGTTTTAAAGTGTTAGTAAAATTTAAATTAAAAAGAAAAATTATAGTTATAATTGGGTTTTCTAATTTGTTTACCCAAACGACAAGAAGAAAAAAAGGTTCTTTTTTTGCAACCATCCACTTACAGAAATAAAAAATAATTGATTGATTGGATTAGATTACCAATTGAGTTTAGATGGATATTAAACTAAATAACATATTTTGTACTCCATTATATTAAAATATTGAAATATTGGAGGCATTCTACATCGATGGTGTTTAATCTAATAATATTTGTTTGGTTTTGTAGCGTGTGCCAGAAGACTACGTGTTTGTGATGGGAGACAACCGCAACAACAGCTATGATTCTCATGTTTGGTAATGATGTGTTCAATTGTCCTCCGATACGTTCATTACATTCAATATATTTGTTAATTACGTTGTGAATGGAATGTGATTGTATTAGGGGTCCCCTGCCATCGAAGAACATCATAGGTAGATCAGTATTTCGGTATTGGCCACCAAATAGAATTGCTGGAACAGTTTCTAAGGATAGTTGCAGTGTTGAAACCTCCCAGGAGAGTGCAGAGACTGCTCTACCTTCTCAATGACCACACTTCCTATCAATTAGTGTGGGTTATGTAACATTTACTAATTTTTTATTATTATTCTTTAATTTTGGAAAAGAAATATGAGTGCTTCACTTTGGCTCATGTAAATGCTCATTGTTGGATATGTATTATAATTCATACTTACGATAGATTGCAAACAAAATTTATTTCAACATAGTGCACTTAAAATAAACAACTTACTTTCTAGGAATTTATTTAACATTTATTCTCTATGTATGGATTAGCTAATTTACGGTTGAAAATAATGATTTAAGATGATTTGTGAGGAATTTAAGGTGATAAAAATCTTGTCTCATGAAGAATGAGTGAGATATTAACTTCCATCATTTTAATCTAAATTAATCACGCGTTTATAAATTTTCTTTACTTTTTTTTTTGTTAAATAAAATATGGTTTTCTCCTTTCCTTCTGTTCTTAAAAGGAATCTCCTACGAGACAGCCTTCTGGATATGTGCTCCCTCACTGTCAACGTCATTCCAAGTATACGGCAAATGACGCTCCATGCTCATCACTAAGAGAGTAATCACACACAGGTTTGGTATTGTTCTTACAACAACACAGTGTAATGGTGCTGCCCCAGTTTGACACCCTAAGATTGCAGTCATATATGGACAACGCCTTGTTTAGAACACATGTCAAAAACATTCTTCAACTTCACTTGCTCTCTATCGCAATCCTTTATCCTCTTCGACTTTTTCTGTTCCACAGTCTCAGTAACCATGCAACTGCTGCTACTAATGGTATCTTTTGGTTCCAAAGAACCCCTGCAGTCTCCCAGAGAGGAAGGAGGGGCTTTCTTGGCAGTTTGTTTTATTTGGATGGAAGTGATTGTCCAAATTGCAGAGTGTTGAAGGAGAGGGAAAAGGGGCCATTACCAACATCACTCTCACTCTCAGATTTTTGCCTCTTCTTCGGGTCGGTTTTCCTTTCCCTTAACCGTTCATCCATTTCAACACTGACGTTCAATTATATCTTATACGCATAAACAATAATTTAGATGAATTTTAATCATAAATAATTAGTGAAAATTTTATTAACTTACAAAATAAAATTGCTACCCTATAAATAAAGACAATCCAATTTTTTAATTAATTTATAGTCTAAAATTGTTTTCAATTATCACTCTTAAACTCCATTATTATATCAATTATCACTCTTAAATTCCATTAACAATTTTTTCTTTTCTTTATTTATTTCTTTCTAATTATATGTTCTTTCTACTCTTTCACCCTAAAACCTAGATTTATATTTTTCATTCTATTTAATTTATTTTAAATTAAAATTATTCTTAATATAACTGTTGAAACCTTTTTAATTGCATAAATATAATAAATTTATGTCAATAAAATCAAATTTAATTTAATATACACATTAATTTAGAATTATCCATATCATACATAATTTTGTATTTGCTTTTAACATTAGATAAAAATTTAAAATGTCTTTTATACTGAATTATTATTAAACTTAAAACATTAGTTATATGCTTAAATTAGAATTGATTTGATTTCAACTATCTAAATTAATCCTCATTAAAGACGAAAAATAGTTTTCATATTTAAAAACGAAGCATAGAATTAATAAATAATATTATGTTATTTTTTAAATATAATTATTAGTTACATAAAACAATTTGTTTAATTTATAAAATAAGTTTTCCTAAATTCCCTTAAGTAGGGTTAACACACCAAGTCAAAATATACCTAATTTAGATTATAATTTCTTGTCTAAACTAATTTTTTTATGGGAATTTTAGACAACCATCCAAGCAAACCATTTTTTACATTTCTCATATAAAGTGAAATAATTTGGTGATCGTGGTGACTACACTTATAATAATGAAATCATTTGCTTAAACTAGCAAGGGATCTCAACTTGACCAGACTTAAGGCCCCAGGAAAAACTGTTCTTCCCTTCAATGACTCCCTTCGTCAAAATATATTTCTCGTTTTCTTATTGAAACTTGCATGTCCTTTTTCAAATTCATTTACCATTCCTTATATAAAATATACAATGCAACATTTTAATAAAATTGTACCGCAATTAAATTAAGTTAATCAAAAACTCAATTTCATCAGCACTCCCCAGATTATCTGAAAAAATTGGCATTGGGTTAAATTTTGGTAAATTCAGAGTGGTATAAAGCACAGTATTTTCTTGTACCATAGATGGAAGAAGTTCTTCTCCATGGAAACAAATTCTAAACTTCAGAGATGAATCGAGGTGCAAACCCACTCAACAGAAACACTTTTCTTAGCCATAAATGCTATATATATATATATATATATATATATATATATATATATATATATATTAATAATATCCAGAAACAAAACCAAATAAGCAATTTTTTTCAATTTTATAATAAAACCAACCAAACTATTATTGAAAATCATTCATACTAGATGTGAACAGAACAAAATGAATTATAACCTATACATACAAACACAATTGGTGTCAAACTCAGGCAACAGTTTGGCATCACCTAAAGCAACCATGTGTTTTATTCCTATTCCACCAATGTCAGTTAACACTCATACCCTGGCATGCACTTCAGCAAAACCTTTTTACCTACATGTCAGGCTTCAGAAAACATTTAAATTCTATCACAAATATAAATATTCAACCATAATTTGGTATATGGAATAGAGTCTTTCAACTATAGTGGTAATTTTTTAACCATAATTCATGTTCTCTGTTTGAGAATGTTCTACTCATGTGAATATTTGCTTAACCACTAAATAGTGACAAAGATATTGTACTTCTCATAGCAAATTGTGTTCCATTATGAAAAAGTAGGGTCTAAGCATACCAAAGCAACAACAAATGAATTTTTAGAAGAATATCTTACATGCTCAACTAAAATGATTGCAACGTGTTCAACCTTAAACAAATTAGCCACGTATTTAATAACCACAATATTAAATTTCATTTGATGATTAGTGGAGTAATATTGCTCTAAAAACGACTTTCACTCATTTAATAAGTTTGATGGATAATTATTAGATAGAAAGAGACTCTCAGACATCCAAGGAAGGATAAAGGCAGCATTAGCTCTCAAGCCCGGCGAAGGCGAAAGCTCTTGGGCGGCCACTGCGAATGTTTAGAGAAACAAGCCTTTGGAATTGTCATCATCGAGTAGTTGAATCACTCAGAAGCAGTACATAATAACAATCTACAATGCAAATTACAAATCCACAAATTACCATATGCAATTTAGTCGAGAATTAAATAAAGACTCAGACATCCAAGGAAGAATAAAAGCAGCATAAGCTCTCGAGCCAGGCGAGGCGCGGCCACTGCGAATGTTTAGAGAAACAAGTCTTTCAATTTTTCATCATAGAATAAATGGAAAATGAAAAACAAATAACTTTTTGAAAAACAAACCATCCATGTATCAATTTACTAACAGTATGTACATGGCCTCAGACATCCAAGGAAGGATAATGCAGCACTAGCTCTCAAGCCTGGCGAAGGCGAAAGCTCTTAGGCGGCCACTGCGAATGTTTAGAGAAACAAGCCTTTCAATTTGTCATCATCGAATAAATGGAAAATGAAAAACAAATAACTTTATGAAAAAACAAATATTGCATGTATCAATTACTAACAATGACCACTACATATTGAAAACAGCATGTACATGGCCTCAGACATCCAAGGAAGGATAATGCAGCACTAGCTCTCAAGCCTGGCGAAGGCGAAAGCTCTTAGGCGGCCACTGCGAATGTTTAGAGAAACAAGCCTTTCAATTTGTCATCATCGAATAAATGGAAAATGAAAAACAAATAACTTTATGAAAAAACAAATAATGCATGTATCAATTACTAACAATGACCACTACATATTGAAAACAGCATGTACATGGCCTCAGACATCCAAGGAAGGATAATGCAGCACTAGCTCTCAAGCCTGGCGAAGGCGAAAGCTCTTAGGCGGCCACTGCGAATGTTTAGAGAAACAAGCCTTTCAATTTGTCATCATCGAATAAATGGAACATGAAAAACGAATACATCAAAAATAAACAATATATGTATCAATCACTAACAATGACCACTAAATATTGAAAACAGCATGTACATGGCCTCAGATATCCAAGGAAGGATAATGCAGCACTAGCTCTCAAGCCTGGCGAAGGCGAAAGCTCTTAGACGGCCACTGCGAATGTTTAGAGAAACAAGCCTTCAATGGTATCATCACAGACTACTTATTTCATAACAAAAAAATTGAAACAACAAAATAAATGCAAGAATTGAATAAAAATTAAAGAACATGAATTTCAACATTATAGTATAACTATTCCATCCCATAATGATCAGCAAAAAATTTAAAGAAACAGAGCTGACAAAGTGAAAAGGATGGACAAATTGAATGTAAGGGACTTGTTCATCCCAAGAGCACTCGGAGGCACTGCTAAAGGGGCAGACGTAAAGTCCCAAAAACATAACAACAAACCACAAAGGTCAAAGGATAAATGTAAAGCAAACATGCAGATATTCTAAGATTAAAACTGATATGTTAAATAAAATCAATGAAAGGGTCATCAGATAGGAGCGAAAGACTAAAACTAAATATAATCACAGACAAATCATCTGAACTATGCTTATGATCATCATATGACCCTTTCAAGATAATATTAACAAAATAACACGATCAAGTGGGGAGAATTAACCTGGCCGGCAGTTGATAGAAAAAATCAAATTCAAAAAATTCAGGGCTTCAGAAGGAAGGCAGTAGTGGTTCTGTAATCATGAAAAATCATACATTACCTATTCACCAATTTCTCATCATTGCCTATACAAAAGCACAGATAATTTAAAGCTTCATAAGCTAACATTGACCAACAACGAAATCACGAACAAAACTTCAACAAAATAAAAACACAAAGACGCGTGCACACACGTATATGTGTGTGTGTGTATATATATATATATATATATATATATATATATATATATATATATATATATATATATATATATATATAGTTAGTTGGCCTCATAGAGAAGATTAGTTTGATCCACATAGAGTAGTTCAGACATATGCTTGTCTATTAATTATTATTTAATCATAGGCCGATAAAAGATTTCAAATGCAAAATGAAATTAACATCGAAGAACAGTTGAGAAATCAAGAGAAAAATAGTAAGAAACATTAATCAATAGAAATCTCAAAAGGAAAAAGAATTAGACGAAGAAGGGACTCAGAATATGGGTGGTGATATAGCAGGATGGTCGGCAAGGCCGATTAGGCCAATTACGACGAACGAGACCTTATCACATAAATCGTCACAGTCCACTTCGATTTGGCTTCTAACAGCACTTCAACAATCAACAGCCAAGAGTAGCAATCAATCCTCCGAATCAGAAATAAAAAACAAGGAAGAAAGAAAAGAGATCGGTTCTTACCGATCTGAAATGCTCCCTTAAAACCCTAGCCTCTCAGTTAGTTTGTAGAGAAGGTGCATAGAGAGTGCTTATAAAGAGGAGGGTGGTATTGAGAGCTAGGGTTTTGGGTTTGACTGTTATGTCTCTAGAATGTGCCGAGGATGCACCCTTCTTAACCTACGCCGCCAAATAATAACCTAACCAAACTATTCGGGTTGTTAAATTAAACATTTTATCCAAATGGAAATTTAACTTTTTATTTTTGTATCCATTTGGTAAAAATAATTGTTATTATTAACTTTATAATTATAAATAATTATATTCAGATGGATTATTTTTACAATTATACAGGTGTAATTTAAAAAACAAATATAAGTATTCAAATGTATAATTAAAAACACTATACCATAACTCACTCACGTAGGTGGCGAATATATATATATATATATATATATATATATATATATATATATTTTTTTTTTTTCAGATTTCTTAAAAAATATAAATTAAATATTATTATTTTAAGCATAGTAGAAGGTCCAGAATCAAGCAGAAAACTTTAATGGGCTATGCGGCATATTGGTCTTAAAATAGTTAATGTCAGCCCAATAAACCCAACAGATGAAGAAAATATAGCTGAATATGAAGATTCGTCGAAAGTGATAAAACCCACTACAAAGATAATAATAAATCCACTAACATATTGGATTTAACCCATTAAACTTGTAAAATACATGAACAAATTTGTATATATATATTCTCATATTTTTTTTAAAAGACTAAAATGTTTTTCTTTTTAGTTTTATATTACTAGAAAGAAGGAAACATGTTTTAGAAAATTCAGAATTTTCTAAATCTAAAAAAATTTGTAATATTTTTAAATTTTGAATTATAAAATTTGAAATATAATTTAATCATTTTGAAAAAATTAATTCATAAAATTGTTTACAAAATAAATGTAAAAATTATTTTTTGCAAAATATAAATTTACTGTTATGAGAATATTAATCCAAAATATTTTAAAAGGGTAAAAAAGTTAATTTTGGAATGTTTCTAAAAAAATTAGGAAAGTCAATTTATAATATTTATAAAAAGTTGATTCTGAATTGACTTTTTAAATTTTGAAGAAGATTAATTAAAGAAATAAAAAATCCATTTTAAAATATTTTAAAAAACATTAATCTATAATATTTCGAAAAATCTCATTCCAAACCATTTTTATAATACAATATTATCTTTCAAAGAATGAGCTGTTAAAATTGGGCTAATATAAAGATGTACATAGACATCTGGATAGTAAATAAAAATATACATCCAATTCATATTTTTTATATTAATCAATATTTTATGATGTGTAGACAAAAACATAGTATTGTGTGAAAAGCATGTCTCCACTTGTACATGTTAAGACTAAATTTTACCAAAAATCATTAAAAAAACACACATGAGAAAGGCAATAATGCATCACACTTGAAGGATTACAATAAATTTGGTTTCGAGTGCGAAGATTCGTCCTAATCTTTATTCTGCCCCAATCCAGGATGCTGATATATTATCACATTATCTTCTACCCCTTTCAACGTGTTTGGATTTGTTTGCCCAAATTTCGATATTGGAATATATTTGTTTATATTAAATAAGGACATATTAGGTGAGCAAAGCACTCAGGGTAATGAAATTTCAATAATATAAAGATAATATTAATTATTGATAAATTTAATATCATTAATTAAATTTTAATTTTTATATTATCCTTAACTGTTCGGGGTAGTATCACTCGGAAAGTCAGAAACGCATGCGATTAATTTTGTTTTTATTTGTTTGCTTAGGAATAAGAAGGAGTGATATGGAAATTAACCCCGTAAACCATTTTCACATTTCCAATCAAGAAACCTCAATGCATTTTTTTGGTTAAAGATAATTTTTAATACAGTTTTGTTATAATTCTTTTTAACCATTTATGCTGAAAAAACATTATTTTTAAAGAATTAATTAATTATTAACAGAAACGTTTTAGTAATATTTAGTTTGCATCAATTTTTGGAAAATTACTACAATATCTTCATTAACAGCTAAGTAACAGCTTCACTTGCCACATTTTGACGTGGTTATGTGTTTTAAAAGCGAAAACCAGGTAGATGGATTGTTAGAAATATAAAATAAGTGGAATCAATAAACAGTTGCAGTTTGAATAACATAAAGAATAAAATCATATTCTTTTTTAATAGACATTAGTTTGTATTTGTTGGAGAAAGGAGTTACGGAAAGAGATTAGAGTGAGCCAGAGGAGCAGAAAGAGACAAGAGGTTACGTGTGTCTTTTAAAGTAGTGCCACCCCATCAATAATAAGATCACTCAAACCGCAGATGCATGATTGTTAGAATGCTGGTTTAAGTTGGAAGAAGGGCTTCTTCATTCTTTTGTTCTGGTGCCAAAATCTCAGTCATAGATAACAGATTGTTACAATACAAAAACCTTACAACTTAGAAGAGCAAGGACTAAGGAAAATCGGAGTCACTTCGATTAAGGATGTTGGAAGGCAAAGCTTTGGTGAAAGAAACAGACATGTCTCCCAAGATGCAGATCCATGCCATGGCCTCTGCTTCTCATGCCCTTGATCTATATGATGTTTCTGATTGCATTTCTATTGCTGCCCATATCAAGAAGGTGCCTCTCTTTCATTTGTCTTTCTATTTCTCTTATTTACTTTTCTTCAATTATTATCTAGTCCAAGATTGTGGTCTCGATCAATCTCTAAACATAACTTAGCATTATTCAAAATATTTGTTCTGTTGGGATGTTTGTGTTATTTTTGTGGTGTTTGATTCTTCAGGAATTTGACAGTGTGTATGGGAATGGGTGGCAATGTGTGGTGGGATCCAATTTTGGGTGCTATTTCACCCATTCATCAGGGACTTTTATATATTTTGCTCTGGAGACACTTAATTTTCTTATCTTTAAGGGAACATCTTCTTGATTTATGTACAATCTGAGAAAGAATACTGGGTTTGGTTATTGGAGAAGCATCTATATGCAGGATAGGTTTTTGATTCATCCTTCTGCGTCTGATTTTGGGTCCATGCACTAGCAGAATATTTGACATGTTAAAGCATGGAAGAACTATGTATGGAGACTGATGAGATGTCTCCATCATCTTGTCTCTCAAATTGACCTTTTCGACCCCTCTGGATTCTCCTATGTCAATTTCTGTATCAATCCAACTACGATTAAGATGCTGTCTCTTCTTTATGTATTAATAAATAAAACTGTCTCTTCTTCATTCTTTTCTTTTCTTTTCTTTTCTTTTTTTCAATATCAGAATATTCCTTTCTTTGAAAAATTAGGATTATGGGTTACAAATAGGATGTATAATTTTATTTAAAGCAGGTGTGTTTAATATTTTAAAATGAGATAATGATGTAATTAAAAATAATTATATTATCTTTAATTTATAAATAAACAGCGATAGAATGATTTAAATATATTTTTAGTGTAAGGTGTTTTTATATTATTATAATATAAGTTTATTATTCATTTTTCATATGTGTGTTTTTGTTTATTAATATTTTTTTAATTTTATTTGTTTGCTAATTTTGAGTCACGTATAATATAAATGTTAAATATGTATTAAGACTATAGTATGTTTATTTATATTTTTCCTTTTAAGATCAATATAATTCAGGAGGAGTAATAAACAGTAACCCAAATAGTAAAAAAAAAAAAACTTTATGCGTGTTTTATAACATATTATTTTATTATTTAATAAAATAAAATTTGAGCAAGGAAAAAATATATTATAATGAGTGTTGGATAAATGTGCAAAGGTGATACTTGGAAATGGGATTTGAAAAAAAAAAAAATCAATACCCAAAACATATGAATATCAAGGCATATATATATAAATAAAAAGAAGATTATAACTGTTTCATCAACTATTTGACTAAAAATTCAATTTAGGTCATAAATTGATGACAAGGTCCTCAATTAATCCAGTTATAAGCAGGCTCTCTATTTTATTGACAACGAGACCAGCCTCGTCTGCACAAAAGCCTCGCTTCCAACCACTCTCCCACATACCATTCGTCTCTCCATTGCACTTCATGTCTTTCTCCATCATTGCAAACACATCATTGTCTTCAAAACCTTCCGCCCCAGAATCATAATCTTCTTTGTAAAATTTCAGATTCTCAATGCCATCACAGATCTCTTCCACCAACCTGCCTAAGGACATTTGTAATCTTGAGTTCCCCCCACATGCTAGCAAGAGAGAACGAGCTACTTGAGACTCTTGAAGACTTTTACGTTCACTCAGTTCATAAGCGCAATCCAAATAAAGCCTAAGATTGAGCATGCTGTAAATAGTTTCATTCTTTTGTAGGGTGTTGGGATAATCCACGTCTAGATTGAAGAGCTTCTTTGCATGTCCTATGAATGATGGACTTGTTAGAAGAAAATGTTTCAGCTCTGTCCCCTCTTTCCCAGCATCAATGCTATAAGCAGCGATAGCATCATTTATATGTTCAGATCTCAGTGGCATAATGAGATCATTGCCTGAAGAATTCTTCCTCTGCTTGCATTTTTCTTTGACGTCAAAATGAGACAAATAAGTTACATAAAGACTGACAGAATCAAATGCATGTCGTGTGATGAAGAAGTTCTCAATTTATTCTTAGGTGTAAGCTTACGATAAACACAATACAGAGCAATGACTGAATTGAGTTGCCATAATAGAACAATAGTATTCTGAGATTGAACTTTCTAGGTTAGAATATTATTGATTCAAGCAAATAATAGATGAAGTAATGCTCTTTTTTGCACACTATTTATTAGCTAAGCAGTGAAACTTCAAATTATTATTTTGTTAAAGAGGGGCCCAGACAACTAGACAGAGGCAAAGAAGCCCCTGCACAAAAGGAGGCTAGTAGTACAATCTTGGTTTTTATCCGAAAATAGAAAATATAATATTTTTGTTTTTATATTGTCCAAGAAATTAAGAAGGCATGCTACTTTCATAGATTTGATAATGATGAATACAAATAAGATGCATCTATAACTAATGCATTTTGAGTTTCATTTCAATTGTGTCACAGGAATAACTTGAGAAGCTTACCTCCAATCTTATTTATGAAGGCATCTGCTTCACACAACATCAGGAGTTCATCTTCTAGTCTTGTGGCGATTCTAATCTCAGGAAAAATTTTCTTCTTTTCTCTTCGCATGATTTGTTCAACCTGTGCATAAGAATTGTAAATTCAGACTCAGATTGAAAATCTCACTTCATTCTCTGGTTAATATATATACACAGAATAAAAAGTAAACTTACAGTTAGTTTAGCTGGTTCTGGCTCAGCAACAGGGATTTGGTTTTTCATCTGATTCGTTCTACCTGTTAAGGAATCTACCACAGAATTAATTTTTTTAATCTCAACATTAAGGTCCTTGGAATTCTTAGTTTCTTGAGTGCAGGTGTTGTTTGAACCTGTGCTCTTTAGGTAGGAAATCTCATTCTTGTCGATTCTAGATCCACTTCTTAGCTTCCTCAATTTTGTGGAGGGGATTTCTCGTCGTTGATATTGAGGTTTTGCCACAGTTGTAGGTTGTGAGATATCCTTTTCTGGCTGTTTTCCACTAATGGGCTGTACCTTCCATTTTCTATCAATTGTCTCATTTACCTGTGATGTGTGACCAATGTGACAATACAGTCTTACCTTACCTGAATATTCTTCAACAGGATAGCTTCCTTTTGATTCCAGTTTAATAATCTCTTCGAGAAATCTAGGTCCTTCCTCTTTGTTAAGCCGTTTCCTTATACCATTTTCCATTTCTTTTCCCATATTGGCGGAACTGGAACCTTTTCTTTGTTTGATAGTTTTGGAAGAGGCTATTTCTGCTTTCAGTTTTGTTATGGGAAAGTCTTTTGGAAGAATTGGAATATAGGCACGTTTTACTGATTCCTGGTAAAGATTACATTGAGGTTTCATAAGTGCAATGCGAGATAAATCACCAAACTGCTTGGAACTGGTATCATTGAAATGATGCATACGAAGCTTAGGATCTTTGACAAACCTCTCCTTCAAAATACTTTTGAAATGCATAGTGTCAAGAGTTTCCCTCAGTCCTTTTTGTTCTGGATTACCCCTCTCAGCTGTATGATCTTTCCTTCTTACCTTTGACATATCTATCTTACCATCCAACAGTTTCTGCTTTATAGCTGGAAATGATTTTGAGGGGGCTTCTTCCAAACCCATCAGCTTGAAAACTAGGCTAGGTCCTCTTTCGGTCTTTGGAGCTATTACTGATAAAGAATGATCGGAAAGGCTGTTAGTCCTGACCCCAGAACACTGGCTTGTGCTTGAAGAAAAAGTTTCTGAACCTGAATCAAATCCTTCAGTGGTCTTTGGAAACATATTTTGCCAAACTAAACTCTCCGTAACCACCTTCTTAAGTTCCTCTTTGCAGTTACTTGAAGAACCACAAGCAGAAGTCTCTGGTCTATGAAACCCCTTTGGATTACTTTGTTCCCCTAATGGATTAGCCTGCGTTCTACCAATCCTGTTTCCATCAGTTCTGTCTCTTTCTGGTTTCTTAGTCTGTTTTCTCCCAAAAGTAGCTGTATGCTGTGAAGCCTTCTCTTGCAACTTACGAAGCATGCTTACAGAATCTTGCCGACCAATAGCTCCTCTTAAATTACCTTTTGCAATATCTTTGGACTTTCTTTCACACATAATATCTCTAGACCATGAATCCAGAATGTTATTCCAACCAGTATCCTCTGCGGAGGCCTGTGTGAGATGCAAAGATGATGGGCCAATGAGATTTCCATCACATCCTTTGGCGACCTTCTTCACTTTGTATCTGTTGTTGATCAAGGATGTCTCCAAGTTTTCACTTGTCTTCTGGATTTTTGTCTTGTCCTTCACTTTGTGAGAACGGGTCCTGTATTTCCTGATTGTTCCACATTCTACAACTCCTTTTGGATCATCGCATTTCAGAAATGATCTATGCATGACTTAGTCCTTATATTCTGTTACATAAACTTCATCAACAAACTGAGAAGTTGCTTATATTCTAAAACACTTACCCATTCGAATAATTTTTTTACAGAATACTTACATGGTCTATTCTCCCCTTGAATTTCACTGCTTTATAGCAGACATACAATACTTGTTTGTCACTTTGTCCCACTGAAACATATGCAATTAAGCATTTAAATAAGCACTTAAATAATCAGTCCCCATCAACAACGTCACCCAAAATAAAGATACATCAAATAAACATCATCAAAGGAGAAAAAACATGTCTGTATCGTAAGATTTAACACTGAATTGTCGACTAAGCTATTTGTACATTTATCCATCTCTGTTCTCGTAGTGACCATTGAGTGAATCACCAGTAAAATCATGAGGGATATAATACACAAATTATATAAGAAAACTTGGAAATTTGCCAAATTAAAGAGGAAAAGAAAAATATAACGCCAAACACAAACTCCCATTCTTATGATTTCTTTACATTATATTTTTTCTTTAGATTTCTTTACTCCTCATTCGTCATCTCGGAGTTTATACAACCTTCCATTCTCCATGCTTTCTTTCTTCTTTAAGAAAAAAGAAAGAAAGAAAAGAAAACTCACATGCGTCAAGGAAACCAAAATGCAACATTAGGCTCAAAAGCACATAAAAGGGAGTCACAGTTTCATGCATACCTACCCTTTTCTTAGCAGTAATCCCAGATGATGTCGTGCAAAGCAGATGCCAAAATCAGCAGAATAAACAAGATAGCATAAGCAAGATGAGGAAGAAATTGATGAAAAGATGTTATGTTGCTATGCGAATGAAGAACCACGAGAATGAAGTGCTGGTCCTAGAGTAGAGACTCATAGGGGTAACACACGTGTATGATGGATGGATACACTAACATAACGAAAGTGTTTGCATCACTTTCCAAAACAGAGTTGTGAGCTGAAGAGGTTGAGTACAGTTGCTTACTTGCTTTATTTATTGGGATCAATTAAAGATTATGAATGCAATAAATGATAGATAATGGTTTTGGTCGCAGACATGTTGCAGAGTGCAAGGAAACATAAATGTATCAGTTACACACTGAATGGAAAGTGGAAACTGGCACTGCACTGGAGTTGGTGAAGCCAAAAAATCAGTTCAGAGCATTAGTATTATTGTTTTCCTTTTTCTTCTCTATGCAAGACTTTTGCAATGAATGACCATAAAAGGACGTGTTTACTTTTCATGTGGGGTGTGTAGATTGGACACTGACATCACATTTGCTCACTTAATTGTGATTCAATTGGCTAATCAAGGATATGATATGGGTAAATTATTGTTGTTGTTGTCTTCCAAACATGACCAAAGGTTCGAGCCAAGTCCATCAATTCGGTAGTGTAAAACGCTTTCATGGTCGCGGTAGAAAAAGAAAAACAAGTGAGAAAGAGAATGAAAAGAAATAGGAAAATGATGGAAATAAAAATGTTTTATTTAGGTATCAGCTAGGTAGTGATGTAAAGAAGAAGAAACGGACAAAGAGAAAAATATAAAAAAATGATGAAAAGCTTTTTTTTTTGGGGCAAAACTAACGGTAATCGAATATTAAACTTTAGGTAATTAATTGTGAATTTCAACATAAACAGTGGCAGGTGTTTTTTTTTTTTAATAAAACGATAACAGTTATATAGGTTGGCATAACTGACTATACTTTAACATAGTATTTATATAATTATATGAAAATTAGTGATATAGTTATTTAAATAAAAAATACAATAATTTTTTTTATCTTCATACCATAATATATATTTTTGCAATTTGATTGGTCTCCATTCCATAAATTAGTAGATACAATAGAAAATAGATAAAATGCATAGAATAAAAATAATTAACAGATCACTTTTATAAAAATGTTTAGATATTTCAATGCTTTTGGGTTCAATTTATTTTATAATAATTCTTTTACAAAATAACTTGAACAAAGTAGCAGTTATTTCTGTAAAATTGTTAATAAGAAATGTTCTTTTTGACCAAGCCTTGATGGGGGCATTCCCTGCTTCTGCTTCTGTTTAGTGAAGAGAGAGAAATCCTTCTTCATATTTGTACTCTACTGCTTAATGATCAAAATTTTCGGTTTTGAATTACTTTGAACTTAAAGAAACTTAATCCCACCTATATTTATTGAAGAAAAAAAAATCAGATTTCCTTTTGGTACATTTTTCTTCAAAGTAGTTTTCAAGTATAATTATACACACTTGGATATATAGAGCAATCTTACACTCAATAAAAAATTAAAATAATTTTAACACCGGTTTTAGTAATATTTTTTTAATAATTCTGACTTTGTTTTTACTTATAAATACCGTATTTGCACAATAATTACTTCCTTAATTATTTATAATATAGTTCATGTTCCAATTTGACGGCTGAAGTCCTTCGTCTTAAATCTCACTATAATAACTAGTAATAATTGATACTTTTATTTTCTTATTACAGTTTGTACGGTAGGAATTTAATGACTTCTTTAATCAAACTTAATCTCAATATATCGTGCTTAGGATTTTTTTAATCATTTTACTGTTATAAAGTATTTCTAAGTTTTATTTATTAATGATTGATTTCAAAATCTTATATGAGTCTTCTACTCGAATCAACCAACTGAAGGTGCTATTGTGCTTATGATGACTTGTAAATTATGTCAGTCGAACACTTGGGTTGTGTCATTACTGCACTGCTTGCAGATTCTTTATTCTTTCACTTCAAACAAGTGAAAGTGTGATATATTATAGTCCTTCTGATCTAAGATCATTACGAAAATCTCCATGCAGGTTTCCATTTTGGTTACAGTTGGGCCCAGTTTTTAGGTAGTTGATCTCTGCAGCATTTTCATTCCGGAAATTGAGTTAAATGAACATTTATGTTGTGCTATATCCAAATGTTAATATCATGATGAGCTTTCGTACCCAAATTTCTTTAACAAATAATGGAAAATCTTTCACGGTGCTTGAAATACAAATATAATGTTGGGTTCTCTATTCATAGAATGAACATTAAGCTTCCAAAAGAGGACTATTTGTAAAACATGATCAACAACGATAACTATATGAAAAGTCTAGATTTGCACATGGAACAGGTTAATTCTTAGTTGTTCACTGGACTCGTTTGGAACGCCTTAAGAGCCATAAGATGTCACTACCATGCAAGGATCTTCTGTGGCGTCCAACCTTCTGTGTACTCTGCATATACAAAGACATGCACAAATCATAAATCTTGGACTAAAGGACCCAAGTAATTATCACGAGGTAGAGTATAGAGGACACACTTACTTGGAAATGGAATTTAGGATTTGGAACTTTTGATAAGCATGACAAACCGTCCTTAACTGGTGCAACTACAAAACAGGGAAATATATATTAAAGAAAAAATGTTAAAGATGAAACCCCAAAAGAGCAAGATAACATTGTTTTAGTACTACACAAACATAGTACGATGCTACCTAGTACCTACCCATGGCCAAATTATTGTGCCTGTTAAGTGTGGCTGTTCTTGGCTTCAAATTCTGAACTGGAGGCTTATGGGTGTACATAAAGAGTGGCAAATCCTCGTATCTCTCTGCTAAATGTTTATCTTCTAACTTTGGAGCTTCAATTTCGGATTCTCTTTATTAGATTAATAATAAAAAAGAAAGTCAGAAATATTATATATTTCCGTTTCAAGTTAACTAGAAATGGAGAAGTACCTTGTTACTTTTTTACTGCTTGATCTCTCAAGGGGAGGTGCAGCTGATAAAAAAATCAATAGAAGAGAAAATAAAAAATAAACACATGAATCGGATAAATGAAAAAGAAATTGTAGTAGTAAATGTGAATAATTTGCAGTTATATTTTACATGGTGATAAATAACGCGAATGAAATCTATGCGAATTCTCATTCCATTGCATTTTTGAGAGGGCCAATTTACGAGCATATTGTTCACACGAGAGAAGTCTCTGTGAAGAACACGAATATAAAACTTTGGTTAAATAGTTTGATATGTGAAAAGAGGTTTATATGTGATGATATTTTTAAAGCAGTACTTGTTGTAGGCATTGGATTCGTAACTGAGCTTCAGAAAAGGCATTAGTTTGAGAAATGAGGGAATCGAGATTGGAAGAGACGTTTCCAAGGTGATCAACAACAGTGACCATGGTCCTGCAAATGTACTCTTTTGTGTCGTGCAGCACACTGCAACATTTTCCAATACCAATTTGTCACGGGTCAACATATCCCACCAAATAAAACAAAGTATATTTAATAAAATTTAGAAAACACAAGCAACGTAACAGGAACTATCTACCGTCTTTTTAAGACGTAACCTCTTCAAACACCAACTAAACACATCCCCAACCAACCTCAATTATTGAAATACTATTTATAGACATTTTGAACCCAATTCACTCTTAGAAAATCCCAAGTGAGTATTCTAATTCATATACACATATACTATTTCAATCTCAAACAAAATAAGATTTGAGTTTTTTTTTCCCTCAACACCTCCTTCCACATTTATCATTATTGAGTTTAGTGATGAGCATTTGATTTACCTTTTATATTAATGAACATTTTTTATTTAAAATATAAAAAAATAAATTGGATAGGTAGTTATTTAGAATTCTTGATAAGAATGATACATTATCATAATATTCATATTACCAAACATGAAAGAACAAATTACTACTAAGTGATCATTTGATCGTATATATGCATTTGTCACTTAGTTTCGTATCATTTTATATTTAGAAAAAAAAACACTTATATAAGAGATCGTATCAAATGACATATTTACATCTTATAGATATTTCTACCATTTTTTTTTAATAAAATAAGACTAACATCGGCTTTAGTTTTTAAATGGACATTTATTTCTCTTATATTTTTAATAAATTGATACCCATCTTCCTTATTTTATTTAAAATATCGTCTTAACAAATGCTTAAATAAAAAATTAAATTTAAAACATAAAATTTTTAAAAAATATAAATAAAAATTGAATTATTTAGTTACTCGCAACAATGTGAGTATTGCTAGCTTTCGCACATAGTTTCCTTTGTATATAAATTGTTCCCGTTATGTGAATATCATTTAATAATCATATTAAAAATATGAATGAAATTTTCCAATAATGAAATCATTAATTTTTTTGCTCCTAAAATTTCTTTAGTTTTTATTTTATTTTAATACTTTAATTTTCATAATTTTTAATTTGAATTTTGGGTAATATATTTTTAAATAAATTAAAAAAGGAAATATAGATATAATTTTTCTTTTCGAAAATAAAGAAAAATCAATATCAATTTTAAAATTTGAAATTAGAGGATTCATAAACTTATTAGCTAATCTCACCTGAGATTTTCAATTCAATAAACTAGTGTATAAGTTTCTAATTGTTCAGTTTCTAGCTTTTTCTCTTTGAAACACAAAAGCAACTATGAAAACTGGATTTAAAGGTCCAATCTTCATTGATTTTGCTCTGCACCTCAAAACTCAAGGAGAGAAAAGGAAAAAAGCCCTTCAAAGCCCACACAATACAGATGTTGGGGTGTTAGCAAAAAGAATGCTGTGTAACAATAGTTTAACATGTTAATGAAAAGTAATGGTCAACATAAGGTCTTGGCTCCTGTTAATAACTAAGATATTGCCACGTGCTTAGATATTGCCGCGTGTAATGGCCAATCATAAAGTGAAAGAATCAAACTACCAAAAATGGAAGCTAAGTGAAGGCTTAAGCCAAATACAAATAAGTACAGTTCACAATGGTGCATAAGAGCATGGTGAGTTTAGAACACTCACTCATTCTTCTCTTCACTTTTAGAGAAGGCTGTTTCACAACATTCTGCAGCTTTGTGTAGTTGAGACCTTAGTTCCCTCAGCTCCTGCAATGCAACCACCAAAAGATTGAACTTCAAAATAAAACTAACATATAAAGCATTGTTGAGTCTAGATGTAAACCTGAAGAGACTTGTCAAAGCGCATGGTTTCTTCGACCTCAGCTTCGGCTAAAGACTTGAAGTTCAACTCCATCATATTGCTCTAGGCTTAATGCTTGTAAACATAGGATCTAATATAATGCTCATTTTTCTGAATGAGGCTCATCAAATAGTTATAATAGGATTTATGAAATGTGGCTTTTGGAGGTTTGTGATATGGTGAAACAAACAAGGCTCCTAAAAAACAGATTCTGCAGCCCATAACCAGCCAGCACACACATTATAGAGCATGATGACAAATAAACAGTTTCAGTCCCGTGATATTCTGTTTTTTACCATGATGGGCATCTAATTAATTAAAACATCAAAGTAATGACTCACGGTATAATGCAATTACAGACCCTACTAGCACATCATTCCTTTAAAATTTGACAATCGTGCAACAAACAGTAGCTTGTAATTACTAAGCATTTATTACTCACTGAAATATTGTCGTCGAGTTTTCTGATAATTTAGTCACGTATATGATATACGTCGTTGCTATAATTAATATATATATATATATATATGTATGTATATTTTGAAAGGCACATGACTTGTTGGAGGCTTACACATGCATTTTTCATGTGTGACATATATATGTATGAATAGGATGGACATACACCATGTGAGAGATGAGAGTATAGGATGAGCAATAAAGTAGATGATTAACCTTTAATTAAAATAATCATAATCGTTTATGTATGGTTAACGCCTTGCACCTCTCATACTTACCTTTAACACGGTGACGAATAGGGACATATATCAGCAACCTGTTAGATTCAAAATCTTATTTTATTCGGTCAAACTTTTGAAATCAGAATGACCCTCTCTAAGGAAGCTTTAATTGGCTACGTTATTATTACAAAGCAATGGGAAAAATGATTGTATGAACGGAAGATTTGACTGAAGATGAGGAATAAGGAAAGAAATGACCAACCAGGATTGTTCTCACTATAATGACTAGAGAACTATTGACACACATTAAGTTCTGGGTAGCAGAGTGGAAGAGGTGGTTTGGTAAAGGACCAATGATTCGAACATCAAAGTCATAGCCACAGAAGTGTTAAAGATGCAAATTTAGTTACAGACCAGTTAACATGTAACCTTGATTTATATCTTCTGAAAGGTATTATGCTACATGGAGATGTCTTATACTGTTCAAATTTGAAGTAATTATGATTTGTTAACATGATATAGAATCATACAGAAGAACTGTTTAATTGAAATTCGGTGTTCTGTACATTAAACTAGCAACAGTGGATAAGTGCGGACTGTTACGTGACTTTCATATTAGTTTTGTACCATCCTTTGACACACCTTGTATTTGTTTTTGAAGTGTTGATAATAATAAATTTCTGCTTATCAAAAAGAAAAAAAAAATGAAATTTCAACCTGTGGTGACGGCCAAATATTGAATCACCAAATAATATCTTGTCCCATGTGTGAGCAACAATTCAATTTTTTTGAATGCAGAAGTTAATTCTAGATTATAATTAAGTACTACATATTATCCAATGTTTTTGTCCCCTCAATATAAAACTATATTGGAGCTTCACGTAAGACCACTGTCATAATTTCTGATCCAAAGCTCAAGCTATATCTGAAAATGGGAACTCTATATCTGAAAATCAATTATACAACCACCAATCGACTCTGCAGCCTCAATATCAGACAAAATAGAGTTATTATTATCCGATGAAACCGGTGCTAAAACAATATCTCTAACATTTTTATACAATTCCTGAGGCGTTTCCCTTTTTTCTTCGTGGTTGACAAGATTCTGACGTTTTTCAGACGCATTTCTAGTAGTTGATCTTGCACATTCTCCTTTTGGCAAGTGTTTAGAGTCTAATAAAAGGAAAGAAAATGAGGAGTGGATTAGTATAACATCAAGTTAGTTATAAGGAAAAACTTTATAATTAGCAATAAATAACGACACCATACATTGGAGTATCTCTTCCCAATCACAAAATACAAAAGTAGGCATCGAGTTGTTAAACCATGTTCATGTGCATGGACGCAAAGCAGAAATAAACACAAAAATAATTTCTATGGAGGATTTTGAGTTATTCCATACTGTAACAGCCAGTTACTCAAGGATCACAGCTTGAAATTTGTGAAATAGTTAGGTGCAAAGCTTAACCAGGGAATATATAGAGAATAAATGTTAAGGACTGGAAGAGTTAGATCATTTTCACGGTGCTTGAGCTACACTTAGATTCGTAAAGATACCAATAACCATGTTAGAAGAACTGATAACTATCTGTGCGGTATATGGCATTCTAATTCCTTTTCTTTTTCTTTTGAGGAAATGAAATAAATTTTGTATTATTTATTATTAATCGTGTGGAGAAGTGACTCTCCATGTTAAAGGAAAAGTGAATAACAAAAGGACCCTAGATAAATAAAGTCAAATTAGTGTTTTCACCGCAATGCCATGTTTCTGTGAAAAAGGAGAGGAACATAAATTTAGCGAGAAACAAATTCTTGCATTTCCAATCCTAACCTTTGACCATCTGAAATTCCAACGTTCATTTTAAAGTCACAGATACAAGCTAGCTGAGTGTATATTAGCCCACATCTACTGGGGTAGCATACGTAATGAAGTGTTAATACAAGAAGCATCAATGGATTAGAATTTAAAATACCTCGAGGAAAGTACGAATTTCTACTATATAACATGTATTTTCATAATGAATTTGTTGTTGTTGCTGCTGCTTAAAATTTTATTTTTGACAGTTATTTTTTACTTCTAGAGATGCCATTGAAACAACAAACGAAGACAATAAGTTGTAAAAGCAGCCATGTAATTGCAAACAAGACTGAGTCCTCAGTGAGTGTGCGATTACCTTTAAATGTATTGGAAGAAGCTTTGCAAACCATGTCTAGTTTAGCACGGGTAATGCACAACCATCTTCTTTCTGATTCATACTTGAGTTCTGTTTCAATTGGAATATGCCAGTGGCCTTCCTCTGATTCCTGTTACCACAATTGGCATGTTATGTTTCCTTTTTTGATTCTTTCTTTCTTCACATCTTCATTGTTTCAAATTTAGATTTATAGCAATATATAATTTAATTTGTGTTCATGTTCCACCATTTTTCAAACGGGTTAAAATCTCACCTGAATTACAACAGAACAAGGAGGGGGCATGTGAAACACTGGACTACTAGTATCAGAGAAACTGAAGCGTACCTTAAATTTATTAGACAAGGATTCCAATGTTAGGCTGGATTTAACTTGTAAATAATCAAAGAAAGGGATAAAAAAAATCCAAGATTAAACCTTATTACCAATGATTTAAACCTTAAATTGCAATATATTTCTCTATATGCTATTAACCAATTACCAATGACTAAACCTTATTTAATCAGATATATAAAATCGGTGTGACAAGAAGAACAAAGATCCAATGAAAACTTTTCTTTCCAAAGGCATTACCTGGTGCCTTTCCTTCCATTTGGGGAAAAAGTCATTTCCCAAAAGCTGAAATAGATGATCTCTCATCTCATCGTTGGTAACAAGTAAGCATTTAAATTTTATAGCTGCATACAACCAGTACCTGAAACACAGGTTAGTAAATGCAGCATGGTAGGCCTAATGAGTAGAAATAAAATAACAATAATAACATTTGTTCTACCAATCATCATTTGATCCATAAGGTGTTGCATAGAGTGCATCACCATTATTCCACTTATCAATTAATGCCCTATTGACTGGTTCATCCATTTTGTCTCCCTTGATGCGCTTATTATGCAAAATAATAAGTGGAAACTTCTTTGAAGGGAGCCTTTGACGCATTTCATTGACAACAGCATTGATCTAAAGTTTACATCTCAGAAGAAAATAATCAATAACCATAACAAAAACAACAAGCAAGGAATAAAAAAGAAGAGTATTTTCGAGGTTCAGTAACTTGCCTTGAACGGCATAAACCTCCCTTGGCCAAAAAGGCCAACATTTGCAGCATCTACCACTGCTTCAAAAGGTCCATAGTAGTCAAGCCATTTCTGCAGTGCACATTTTCATATATACTAATTCCAACATCATCAATCTCTAAAATTAATGAGACTCGAGCAAAAACACATTACACTAGTTTCTTACTTGAAATTTCTGGAAGTTTGAACTTTTTTCTCTCGTCATGGCTATAGATGCAACTGACTTGGCAAAATTTTCAGTTTCAATAGGATCAAGATCAATAGTGGTCAACTGCACCCCACAGCATTTACACATTCCATCGGTTCCAATGGTTGTATCAGCAACTTCCCATTTTCCCTTACCCAACCAACCCTGCCCATGCCAGCCTCCACCACTATTTTCTATAGCTTCCATTATCAACCTCTTATCCCATTTTCTCTTCCCAACTCTTGAAGCCTGCTTGCTCTTAAACCAATCAACAATCAAAGACGCAGTGGCCTGAGATACTTTCCTCACACTACTTCTTAGTTTATGTAACACATAGTAAACCTTGTCACTATTCCCAGCTCCTACGCTGACCCTCAAGAGAGCCTCCAACTCAGGCTCTTCAGGGTAGACACCATGCTCTAGCATGTGCTGTTCAACAGCAAATGCCTTATCTATTTCCCCATTATTGCAAAATGTGGATAAAGCAGGACCGTAAGACCTCAACTTAGGACTTATCCCTAAGTCCTTCGTCTGCCTCACCATCTCAAAAGCCATCTCACCATCACCCATGGACATGGCCATTCGAGCAACAGCCGTCAGCGCAGCCTCATTCATTTGAACCTTATCCACACACATATTCTCATACACCTCAAACCCTCTTTGCAGTGCATATCTCTTGACATCCTCACTCACCAACAAAATCCCATCTTTCTCAGTGGAATTCAAATCAGAATTTAATTCCGCATTGCAATCCAACTCAAAAGATGAGTCATTTGTGTCCACTGGTTCACTGTACCCCTCATTTAGAACTCCATCGGAGGAAACAAGAGCACTTAGAGTTCTTGCACCACTTCCACTTTTAGCCGGTCGAACAACACCAACAGCTGCAGAAGAACACAGATACAACAACACAGTGTAATGGTGCTGCCCCAGTTTGACACCCTCTGAGATTGCAGAGTCATATATGGACAACGCCTCCATAACATCACCTCGTTTAGAACACATGTCCAAAACATTCTTCAACTTCACTTGCGGACTATCCCAATCCTTTTTCCTCTTCCTCTTCCTCTTCCTCTTCTTCTGTTCCACAGTCTCAGTAACCATGCAACTGCTGCTACTAATGGTAGCTTTTGGTTCCAAAGAACCCCTGCAGTCTCCCAGAGAGGAAGGAGGGGCTTTCTTGGCGAAACATGTAACCGTTTCAAGTAGAGAATTGAGAGAACAGTATCGAGTTGCAGTTTGTTTTGTATGGATGGAAGTGAAAATGATGATTTTGTATGAAGGGCGAGGTTGATAGAGATGAGAAAGTGTAGGCTTAGAACAAGGGAAAGTGAGAGATTGTCCAAATTGCAGAGTATTGAAGGAGAGGGAAAAGGGGGCCATCACCAACCTCACCAACATCACTCTCAGATTTTTGCGTCGGAGTTTTCCTTTTCTTTCCCTTCACCGTTCATCCATTTCACCACTGACGTACCATTATATCTTTATTTGCATAAACAATAATTTAGATGAATTTTAATCATAAATAATTAGTACAAATTTTATTAACTTATAAATCAAATTACTACCCTATAAATAAAAACAATACTATTTTTTAATTAATTTATATCTAAAATTGTTTTCAATTATCATTCCCTAACATTAAACTCCTGTTATTAAATCAGTTATCACATTAATATCTTTTCTTCTCCTTCTTTTATTTCTTTCTATTTATATGTTCTTTCTACTCAAATTCACCCCAAAACCTAGATTTATATTTTTCATTCTATTTATTTTATTTAAAACTAAAATTATTCTTAATATAACTGTTGAAACCTTTTAAATTGCGTAAATATAATAACTTTATGTGAATAAAATGAAATTTAATTTAATATAAACATTAATTTAGAATTATCCATATCAAACGTAATTTTATATATGCTTTAACATTACATAGCAATTTAAAATGTCTTTTATACTGGCAAAGTATTATAATTAAACTTAAAACTTATACCATGTTACCAATATAAATAGTTATATGATTAAATTTGAATTGATTTGATTTCAACTATCCAATTTAATCCTTATTAAAGACGAACAATAATTTTCAAAGCTTTTTTTCTATCGGTAAATAAACTATTTAAACCCATTTAATATATAATTAATAAAATAATATTATGTTATTTATTAAATATAATTATTATTTATATAAAAAAATTAAAATTTGTAAAATCATAGTTTTCCTAAATCCCGTTTAGGTTAACACAACAAATCAAAACTTACCTTAATATAGCTTTTTTGTCTAATCTAATTTCTTTTATGGGTTTTATATACAACCATCCAATCAAACCCATTTTTTCCACTTCTAATTGAAAGTGAAATAATTTTGTGACTACATTCATAGTAGTAAAATTATTTGCTTAAAATAGCAAAAGATCTCAATGTGACCAGACCTAAAATGACTCTCTTTGTCAAAATATATTTCCCATTTTCTTTTTGAAAATTGCATATCCTTTGTCAAATTCATTTATCATTCGTTATATAAAATATACATTGCAAACACTTTAATTGATCAGCAATTAAATTAAGTTAATCAAAAACTCAATTTCATCATCGCTAGTTAAACTTGAACTCTCCCCAGATTATCTGGAAAAAATTGTCATTGTGTTTTAAAGCTATCTTAAAATTTGGTAAATTCAAAGTTGTACTTTAAAGCACAAAGTATTTTTCCTGCACATGACGGTAGTTGGAAGGAGTTTTCTCCATGGAAACAAATTCTAAACTCCAGAGAGATGAATCGAGGTGCAAACCCACTCAACATAAACACTTTGCAATCCTTTCTTGGCCATAAATGCTATATATATAATTAACATCCACAACTAAACCAAATAAGCAATTTTTTTCAATTTTGAAACAAAACCAACCAAACCATTATTGGAAATCATTCAAACTATATTTGATGTGAACAGAGCAAAATGAATTGTGACAGGATTACTACACATACAAACACAATGGAAGGTGTCAAATGCAGGTAACAGTTTAGCATATCCTAAAGAAACCATGTATTTCATTCCCATTCCAACTATGTCATCTGTCAAACCCTGGATGCAGAACATTTACACTATATCATATCTTCCTCAAAGGCTAACACTCAATATGTTAACGGTCTCCTTCCAACACACTTAACTATTAGCTGCAATTCATGGGAGTCCACCTAAATAAGTACCTCATTTCCCATATGCTAGCGCTCCTCTACAGTACAGTATGATATCTGGTTTGACAATGATTTATAAATACACTAACAAGTAAAATGGATTAAATACTCAGATATAATGCACTAAAATGCACTACTAGTTAACAAAAAATTTGTCCATAGACTGGAAAACAAAAAAGAATCTTTCAGAAATATATGAAGATAAAATGAACCAAGTAATATGTAAGCAACATCAATTGCACTGTGTGTTCTCAAGTATGTCAGATGAAGACTTATATGTCAGTGGCCTCAAGATTACAACAAATGAAAACATCAACATGAGCCTGACATCCAATGAAAATGCTACCTCGAAGCAACTAATTGCAGACAAATGCTGTCATAAAGGCATGGAAATACCTGTAAAATAGACAAATGGAAGCATTGCAATGAGTTCTTGTCATTCAGTTATTAAATTCCGTACCTCAATGATATTTAATTTTGCTGAGTTGTAAAATCTAATTTTATGCAAAAATTATAAAGTCTATATATTTGTCCTTTTGAGTATCAAGTATCTTTAGTTAACAGTTAACAGTTAGCACTCATACCCTGTAATGCACTTCGGCGGAACTTTTTTACCAACATGATTTATTATGGCATTTTCTATCATATGACTAACAAAACCTGTCTGTCAATTTTTCGACTATGAGCATAAGATTCAAAGCTTCCAAAATTTAAAAAACAATGAGTAAAATGACAATGATATTGACCATAATTTAGAAGAATTCCCTCCTCCTACCCCTTGGTTGCCAGGCTTCAGAACACATTTCCTAGAAAGTCTACCTTATGTTTTCTCACATTATCACAAATGTAAATATTTTCAACACCCAACTTCTGATCATATGGTAAACTATATACCCTATCAAAATCTTAGCTCATAGAAGCTCTACCTACCAACAATAACCAACTGGTATATGTCCATACAAATTGCTAACGAAGTATTTTCAGTCATTTGCAGCCATGCCTCCTTGAAAAACTAGTTGGAGCCCGATTAAATCTTGTTTGGATAAATTTCCCCGCAAACACTTGTAGGAAAAGAAAATAGAAAGAATAAAATGAATTAAGCTTCTCTAATAAATTAAATCGATTTAAGTTTATAGAACATCATTCATTTAACTTCTTTAAAACCTAAAGTGCATAAGTAGATTTTTTGTTACGCGATAAACACAATTTCTTTTACTTTCTTCATTTCTTCTCCTATAAATGTTTATAAGAGATGTTTAACCAATCAGACCTTAGTCACCCCACTTACGGCAATGGGGAACACTTGGGTTGGTTTAATGGTAGAGATTTGAGTAGCTTACAGGAGGTCTTGATTGAAACCTCACTCTCCTAATTGTATTCGCACACAAGGTCCTAGGTTGAAACCTCACAAGAGCTATTAGTGTGTTGTACAACGACATTCATTGTCACAATGCGCAAGAACGTTATTTAAAATAGTTAATACACACAAAAGAACACACACCTTGAGGAACTAAGCCCCAACCCATAGACTCAACAGGCAAGCTTGACACTAATCGAGCTGAAGCCACCGCGCTATGAAACGGCATCATTGATTCCAAGCTTCCCAACTCCACCGGTAACCTAACCAACCAAATTGCAAAAGTATTATTAAAACAAACCAATAAACAATATCACAGAAAAATGTCATAGTTTTTCAAGAACGAAATGTTAAAGCAAAAATCCAATCTTTTTTCAATTGGGGGATGAACCAAGGCGTGAGAGCGAGTGGGCCTCACCGGAGAGTGCGAGAAAGGCGGCGCGAAGAGAGAAAAAGAGGATTAGGATGAAGAGAAAGAGAGGGTTTAGCGAAGTTGTTGTGAGCAAGTGTCTGTAACCGAGACGACAACCTACACAAAACCTTGGATGATGCCATTGTTGTGTTATTCTGCTGAAAGAGAGGGAGTGTGAAACTTTAGCCCCTACTATTATGCCAGAATATTACCACTGCAACAACGACACGCCTTTAGTTTTTTCCTATTATTTTTTTTTTCTTTTTCTTTAGGGATTTTTTTTTTTCATCTTTTCTTAGCATATCTGAGTGAAAGACATTTCTAATCAAGACATTGTAACAATTAATTAATCAACACTGATAATTTATTTTATATAAATCATAAAAGTATTTTAAAAATTGTGGATTTGAGTGATAGATGTTTAGAGTGTTATATGTATTGGAAATAATATTTCAATTTCTGCACTACACAAGTTTACTGTGCCATAAGTTGAGAATGCTTTCTCGTTTTATCATCTCTACTCAGAAAAACATGATCAATATTTTAATATATAATAACTAAATTACAATAAATAAATTTTTAATACATACATTATATTATAAAATTATAACAATAATTTCTCTTGTGATATTGTACTGAATATTCTATTTTTATTATATTCACATTCTATTTTTATATTACACATTATAAATATTTTTTTTAATAATGGTAAAGAAGATACATTGGATTGAGCATTTTTTTCATAAAAAAAAGTTTGATGATATTCAAGACTTTTAAATGATATAAATAAGTAGTTGATCATTTAATTAAGTTTTTTTTTTATAACCTAGCAAAAGTCCATTTTCAAAAATAATATATTTAATGGATTTTACACTACTTTTAGTAGGGTGGGTGTTTATATTCTAGTGTGTACATTGAAAGAGGTAGTAGAAGTTAAAAACAAAACTCAAGGTGAATCAAATTAGATTTATCTTATATGGTTTTTATCTAGATAAAAAGCAAATTTTGGCCTACCATGCTAAATCAATTCATCACGTACTAGTGAAAATTCAAGGTAGGTCAGATTAAAATAAGCTCAGGTATATATTACAAGTCATCCCAACCTTTTTTTTACTGGCTAATTGAACTAGCCATTTTTTAAGTCCTGAGATGATGCTACCAAATTTATTTATAGCTCAAGAGATATGATAAAATGACATGAAAGTAGTTGGTGGTCTTTTTTTTTTTTAATTCTGCTTCAAGTTTATAAAAATCAAATAATAGGGCAAAAATAACAATTTCATGTTAAAAAAATAGCGTGGAGAAAATGAAATCAGTCTCAGTAAAATTTGCTTGCTTATCTTATTTTTTAAATTCTCTTTTTTATTTATTCAAGCAAATTAAAAAAAATTATATTTTTTTTGCTATTTTGATTTAGTTAAATCACACACTTTATAACTTGTTTCCGCATAATTCTATGCACCAACCCAACCCACACCTTTATTGTTATTCAAAAAGAAAGTAAACCTTTTTTAGCCCAATGGAGGCCGAAGCTGGAAACGGCCTAAATTGACGCTGATTCAAGAAAGTAAACCTTCAGGAATTATAGAAATAAACAAAAAAACATTTTTTACAATATATATAGTAAGTATCACGTGTTAAAAATTCTCTGTGGCGTTTTAGAAACAAATAACTGCATAAATTCTATGTTAGGACTTCTAATACACAACGGAACCAACCTACCCTTAAAACTATATTTTTAAGTATTTGTTCTGTTATATTATGCTTACAAGTACACTCTCATTGCCATGGCTAAGCAAATTGGCAAGAGCGTAGTATAACAGAACAGCGTGTCATCGAAAGTCGGTAACAACAAATTCGTTTATTTATAACCCAAATTACTTTGAAAGATTGATAAAGATAGATGATTGTTTTCTTTAAGATAAAATCATCCAAACACAGATTAACCCCATTATATACCTAAACAGAAAATCTCATCACATAAGAACAAAAATCACAAGAACAGATTAGCTAGAAAGTCAATAAGACGAGTGTTTTACCTGTGAAGAAGCCCCAACGCTACCTAACGAGTAAGAACAAGTATGCAATTGTAGCTTTCACAACAATAAACAAGACAGACAACTCGGTCAATAAAAAACTCACGCTGAGAGACCAAGGTCACGGCATAAAGTTATACGAGTACAAAGGCTAAGCCTTAAAGGCTGAAAAATTATCGGCTGAGTAGTAACTATAGAATCAAATTATAACCATTTGGAGAAATGTAATTAAATTAAGCTAGATTGTAACAAAACTACAATTTAAATGTGCTCTAATTCAAACTATAAATTCTTTTCATCTGAATACAATAATGAATAAGGTACAATGAAGGTAAAGAGAAAAGAACTCTAGAAAGGAGAATTAGGTTACATTGCTTCTTTTATGAAATTACAAGTCCGCAATTTACAAATTACGTCGAAGCAGAGCAATTAATTCAGACATCTATACTTGAATGACTGGAGTAGAAGAAGAAAATTGATAAGCCAAAAAAATTATCCTAGTTGGACTAACTGGCGGGCCTGTGTGCTTGACAGTTGACACCCTTTTCAAAGAGTAGCAATATAACTAAGAATGGAAGTGTTTTTACAGTTCAGAGTTGTAGCATACCTTCACACAATATTCTTCCAGAGTTATCTCTGTCTGCTCATCTAAGTTAGATCCTTTCATATCTACTTTTCAGGAATAAGGCTACCACCAGGGAACAAAGATGTAGAAGTAATGCTGCCCCCAGCTTTGGCAACACCATTATTAGTGGCTCCCGGCTGATCAGCTGTCTCGGTACTGGTATTTCCAGTGCAATTGTTGTCCGGGTCCTTTGGACTCTCTAAATCACTTCTAGCTAACGAAGAACATTTTGTTTCTGAATTTCGGAATAGAACTTAGAAATTAGCGATTTCAAACAATAAAGTAGGTAATGCAAAAAATACACAAGATATATATATATATATAGTAGGTTAGAGTATGTATAACCATAAATAAAAATTAAAAATTTGTAGAGAGACAAACAAGGAATCCAGCACATCAGTCTTGATATTTTGAGTACAGAAATAAAAAATTTCAAACCCATTTCACCAGACATAGCTATATAAAAGCAGGCTCAAAAAAGCACTAATAAACAAGAAAGAAACAGCGGGTTAATCTGACTATCTTCATTTACAGTTTACGACAATAGGCACACCACCATTTTCTATCCATGAGGTATTCACTTCATATTCCATAGAACTTACTCATCCTTTACCACGCACAGTTAACTTGTAATCAATAAAACACAGAGCAATCCTCGTATGTTTGATGTAAAGTGAATATTTTTTAAGATTAGGTGTCTAAGCACAAGCTCTTGCTGAGACGGGGTATATTTTAGGAGGAATAAGATGAGACAAGGATCAAGATCAAGATTAAAGGTCCAGCATAGAAGCGACAATGAAATCAGGAATAATATTCACACTGAGGATGTGAATCTTAATGAAATGGATGAACAGAGCGACAGAAAGCAATTGGGTCAGAGGAGATCCAGGTGTGGGGGAGTGGAGCATAAGGGGTAGTAAGGGAAAAAGGAGTAAGCTCATGTAGTGTTATTCTCCTTTCTTTGCTGTATTGCTTATCTTCCTAGAAATCGTACAATGTCTCTGGACTATATTGGTATCAGAGCTCAAATAAAGTCACTTTATACATAAATAATACAGGTTTAGCATCACAGAAGCAGAACTAACAGTACGGTAACAAAGACAAACCAATTAATGGAAAATAAGCAAGGAGTTATTGTGATTTTGTCAATGTTATTGGAAGGGTGGGTATTACTTGTCTAAATTGAAAGTTGAAAATATCCATTTGTAAAGGCACCTGTGCTAAGAATGGAATTTTATGAAATTTTTGCAAACAAATTATAACTCAGATAAGAGGAAAGTATTAACTTACCATTTATTTCTCCCATAGTGATAACCCTATTGAGAAAGTCTCTAAATTTTGTCAATACAATCCTTTCTTGCTCGGCATAGACCTCTGTCACTCCTTGTCCATCATGGGGTTGTATAGATGTGTTGCAAGCATGCGGCCTTGATCCAACAGGGGAGGCAGCTGTCATAAACGTGTCTTGCTCATCGCACATCAATGCTAAGGTTCCAGGAGACATTGGCCTCCCTTTTGGGACATCAGCACCATCTGAACAAGAATTATCTGGGCTGATTTTATCTGTATGGTTTGCACTCAAACAATCATCATCAGCCATAGCTTTCTCAACATTAGATTCCTTTTGGCTTAGTAATTGATCCTGAGTTGAAAAAGCAAGAGAAGTTTCTGTCTGATCTTCTGCATACTTATCCATTAAATTTTTCTGCTCTGTTCACAGTCATAAAAATAATGGGTGAGAGAAAACAAGTAAATAATGTGCATTTGTAAATTGATAACGCTAATCACTTAGTAGATAGATAGCAGCTGGAATCACCAATTATACAGAAAACTAGAAATTTCTTGCCCACAATCTTTTCTTCTAATTATTAACTCATGGGCCACAAATATTACAGCCTGCTTGGTTTTAGGAAATATTTTGTTTTTAACTTGCTTCATTTTTTTACTTATGGTTACATAAATGCTACATTGTTTTTACCATTTTCAAAACAAAATTCTGGAAGCAAAATAAAATGAAGGGTTTTTTTAATAATTATTATAGGTGAAAAAGAAAATAGAAGGATAAAACATTTCTGTAAACAAAAAAAAAAAAAAAAATTTCTTGAACTGTTTCGTAATCACATTTCCATGGAATAACATTAAAATTTTAGATGAACTAAGCAGTCAATTGTCAGAATAGAGGATTCTTAGGTGCTCAAATTTTTTAATACTCCAGCAGCATCTTGAGCATTGCACTACCTCCCTGATTACAAAACTTACCAAACAGCTATCCAATTGCAAATAACCTCAGCACATGGGCAGAGTTACCAAACATTTAGAGATCACATAAAATTAAATCCACTTCAAAGTTTAAAATCAACAACTTTTAATTAATTGCACTTCCTTTTCTGCTTTCCTCATTTCCCGTGTACGAAATTATTGTTTAAAGGTATATTACCAATTAAATCAGGTTGAATTCTGCAATTTATTATTTCGCTAACTAACTCCTCAAACAAGTTTGATGGCACATAAACAACAAGGTGATAAATGAACATTTTGAACCTTACTGTGATTGAAAACTTGTTTAGTTTTCATTTTGTCACGCACTTGTGCTAGAGCAACCAACTAGAAAGTCTTATCTGAAGTAACAATTCAATTTGAACATGCGGAATTAAACCATATATAATGCTCACCCATTATATGAAAGAGAAAAGGCGTGGCAAAAGTGGGAGACAGAAAAATCTTTTCTAGTTTAATATCACACTACTCATAAAGAAAAAAACATGTGATACTTCCAAAACAATTGACACAATTCGAAATTGATAATTTAACATGCCAATGTACCTGTAAATGTCTTAGCGGCTTGTCCAGATACTAGCACCAGAACTGAGCAAAGTTCCTTCAGGTGCTGTGGCTGTATGATGTCTGCTAAAAGAGACCTTTCAAGAATAATCAAGTTAATGACTACATTAAATAAATATATCTTCATTTCATAAAATTTAACAAGTCCTACCTGTACATTAATTTGGAGGGACCTAATGTTGCCGGTCCAACACGAGCACTTGGGATAGGTGACAAGGACGAGGAGGGTGCAGGAACTCTGACATTGTTTGCCTGGCAAACATTAAAGAATTTATATAATTCATGGCATTACTGTATATGATTGAGAAATAAAAAAGTTCCCATAAGATGTTTAAACTCTAAATTGCACAAGCAGAATTGATTTGTATTTATTCATTCTTGTGATACTCTAGACATGAAATCGTCCCACCCAGGTGACTAGCTTTTTGGGATGGACTTTCCTAACGGGCTTGAGTCACAACAAATGGTGATTTCACTGAGGCCAGCTGACATGGATGGGGGTAACCCAGACATGGTAAAATGTAACCAGAGAAAGGTTTACTCCAAGTGAAAACCTACGCCTACTACACCCAAGGGATCACACTCTGACTGGATATCCAGAATAAGCCATAGTGAACACAGGCTTTCATACGAATGTACCATATTATAATATCCCACATAGAGCTAACATGGAAGCATATTGTGATACTAAAAGGCCATTAGACCTTCTTGCCCAATAGATTAGCTTTCTGTGATGGGCTTTCTTCCTGGATTTCAGTCGAGCTAGAAATATTGGAACAAATTAAAGGGAGCATATCTCAATTTATTAAAGACTAAATCAAATTTAAATGCATCTCTCACGTTTAATTGTTTAATATAAACTGCTATTGTTGCATGATGGTAAATTGTAAAACTGAACTAGCTTTTATTCTCGGCTTCCCCAATTTAACTGATTTCCCATGTTAAAATAAACCCTGAACAATATTAACAAAGTTTACCTGATGTCCCAGCCGGCCAACTGATGGATCCTTGACGGTTGGTCCGAATAATAGTTCTTGACCTTTTCTTCTCTTTGTTATTGGTGGTGATGAATAGCCAGAGGAACCAATAGCTCCAGTTATGGCAGCATTGGCCGCCTGCTGAATATAGACCATGTTGTTATTTTGATCTCCATGGAACAAAGCCTGTCTCTCTTCACTGCCCTCAAAGTTTTTGCAATCCATGCATTTACAATTTTCAGAGCAAAGAATGTTGGCTTGGAAGCACTCACAGTACTTCTTGAGACACCCAGATTTTTTACAATGGCACCCCTTGTTGTGCTTTCCCAATATCAAAATTTCCCCAGCATCCTCCTACATTAATTTTGATGTCCAAAGATACTCAACAATTGAAAGTAAAAAGCAAAAAAAAAAAAATGTAACCATCTTAACCAGTACTAGAAAAATTACTAAGTTCAGAAGAAAATTAATTAATTTACAGCTTTACACTTTAGGGCATATATAAGTGAATTTGTCAGGTGTTTTAACAATGAGTTACAGTCATACAAAAATTTTATACCTTAAAAAGCCAAGTTTGTGCGGACAAATGAGACACATGATTGAAAAAATTGTCACTTATCTGAGCCCTGAGTATGCACGTGTTACTAAATTTAAAGAAAAAGCATATAAGGAAAGTAAAATGAAACGTAATTGTATCATTGACACCACATTTTAGGAGATCCAAAAAATGAATTACTAAATTATGGCTTGTTGAAAACAACATCAACATAGTGATAGGTAGGGTAGGGACAATTAATGTAACAAGTAAGGATATTTAATATCAGAGAAAATTTATTATTTCTACAAAATTATAAAACCCAAAAATGGTTGACCCATAAACAAAGGCATAATTAAGGAATGATGAACTTAATGGAACTTCAAAATTATGCAATGAGAAAAACAATTACACAAGCAGAAGTGACCTCCAATTACAATGCAGAAAACATCCATTTTGCATATAAGTACACAATGAATTTAAAGAAAGTAACAAAAGATAGCAGGACAAATTGCACAACTGTATTAGAATGAGACCTGATGAGGTTTTAAATTTCTAATAAATTAAAACAATACCATAAATTAATGCGAATGACCCAGAATATAAAATAAGACACGCAGCACTAACAGTTTGAAAAGCTAAACCGACCACACACCCTGCTATCACGCGTTCCATGAGGGCTGCTTGCAATTTTCGGCCTGAACGCATTTGGATTGCGTTCCAAAGTAGCTTCTACCGCTTCTCGTCTAGCAGTTTCATTTTCCACATTGTTATAACAATTTACACAGTTGCAACCATCACAATATATTCCCGAAGCAAAACATTCACAATATCTGCTCAAGACATTTCAAACATTAAGCAACATATCTTACCATTGTATTCAACAAGTTGCAAAAGCACAATAGCAAGAACACAGAGAAAGCCAGAGTATTTCACTTACAGCTTCAAGCATTTGGAATGTTTACAATTGCACTGCTTTTGCTTCTTGGGAGTAGCTTCTTTGATTTCAAAGCCAGGCCTCGGTCTTGACTTAGGAGATTCTGGTTTCCTGAATAAAACAAACGTTAATTGAAGACCAAAGAGCGAAAAACCAAACACCAATTCAAACAATCAACAAACACCTTAGCTGTAAACGAAGTAAAATAAAAATAAAATTCATACTAAATTAATGAAAACTAATAACAACTATCGGTCACTTCTTTCTCATTTCCCAACGACCAAAACCCGAAGCCAGAAAGGAAATTTCCTATCCAAAACTTCATAATCTCTGACTGCAACTCAACTTCCTAACTAACAAACAAACACCGCGCATGTATTATACGGCAAAACAGAATCATCAAAATCGAAACTTTATTCACAAACTCACATTCCCAGAATTTCCAAAAAAAAAAAATCATACATTTTTTTTCAAAAAAACGCAATTACACCTTTTTTTTCTCAGAAATCTGATATTGCATGTTCTTGAGAAATAAAAAAAATAAAAATATATATATATATACAAAACTCAATAACTCACCCAACCCTGACGGAAGCAGAAGGCGGCAGCGGCAAAACCACCGGTGGCTGAGGCGGAATCCCGCCGAAGCCAGTGAAATCGAGCTGCCTGGCAAGCTTCTTGGCGGGAACATCGGACGACAAAAGCGCATTCCCGACTACGTCGTTAGGCAAAACATTCTTTGGAGCGCAATCACTCCCCTCACCTTCACCCTCCCCCATCAAAACAATAATTTTAAAAAAAGAAGAGTAACAACCTCACTCACTCCTTCACTCACCGATTATCATCGATAACATCAACAACAATCAGGTCCAAATTCAAGAAAAATTAAGCTCAAATTCAGTGGTTTCAGATCCAAACGCCACGCGACTGCGCGTGCAGCTCTCGAATCAAGAGAATTCGATCCAAACACCGACACAACACAAGAATAGAAAGAAGAAAAGAAGAAGAAGATGAAGAAAGGAGTGCGATTAAGAGAAGAGAATAGAAGAGAGGGGCTTTGTGTTTCTTTCGTTGGTGGTGTTCGCCTTCGCCCCTCTCTTCCTCCCTCTCTCACCCAAGCTTTCAAATTCAATTTTCGTAAATATTCAACGGCCAGATCTCCTTCCCCTCTTCATCCACGCTCCTCCTTTAAAGTGTCAATCTCGCGGAGCAAATTCATAGAAGCCTCGCTCCTCTTTCCTCCTCTGCCCTTCGATTCAACCCTCTTCCAAACCCCTTTTTTATATCACTCGTTCACGGTGGACACGTGTGCGTCTATTATCCCGCGCCTCTCTGCCCGTCGCTGTGGGTTATAACAGCGGATTCCGTTTCGGGGTTAAACCTAAAATGTAAATAAACACAGAATTTGGCGCTAAAATAAAGTGGCCCCACCCGAGTTGTTTGTTGACTTCGCAGTGCAATGTTTTTTGCAGTAAACTAACGTCACTGTCATTTTATACTTTCATTTTCATAAACAAAATAAAATGTAATTATAGAACATTTATTATCATTTAAATTTAATTTTATATATGAAAAAATAAATTATTTAAAAAAAATATGTTAGCTTCTGCAACAGGTTGTCCATAAATATCTCATATATATGGAATAGTAAAAAAATCTCAATTTTTTTTTCTGGGACCAATTGCAAAAATTGATAAGGAAAATGAAATGTTAAATTTTTTTGTAGATGATCAGGGTAATAAATTGAAAAGGAAATGACATGTGGGAAAAGGAGATGAAAACATAAACCTATATATTGGTTTGAGTGTGGAAGAGATTGAAGTTTTTAAAATCCTGAATGAAACTACCCACTAGAATTGGACCATGGAAGACACACCACACCACCACTATGATCAGCCCAATATAAACCAACATGAGACTAATTCATCGTAAAAGTCAAGACATCATTCGATTCCGTTTTAGGTGAGGGTTACAAAAGGTGTCATCGTCATCATGATCATCCTCCATTTTAAAATACTTGTTTATCATCAAGAAACACTTGTTATGTGATGTGCACCATGAAATTTGATGACAATACAAACTGTTCAAATGTGTTGATATGAGTATTGCAAAATTAGAAGAAATGCTAAAGAAAATGAATGTATTCTATTGTTCAAAGTTGTTCCGGCAAAGAACACAAGTTTTTCATCGTCAAATCACAAAACCTTGTTCGTAGTTCTTTTCTAGTATTTGAGTATTTATCTACTTTAGTAAGATAGATTTTTAACTGATGTCCCATATTTTTGTCTCTGAAAGGAAATTTAACTTCTTATACTTACATTTTAGAATATTATTGAGTATTCTCACTATTTTATATTTTTAGAAGGTAATTATTGTTTTTATTTTTTTATATTTATGTTGCTGGAAAATTGCCAAAAATAGATCCAAAATGGGCCACAACACTGGACACTAAATCTTTCAGACAGCCCTTGGTCAGTATTTAAAGAGTGTCAAAGACTGGAGTACCTTTCTCTCCAATTTGTTGCTATTTGTTTTATCAACTAATATTCAAACTGTGTATAAGACATAATAAATTATTAATTTCATATAATATATATATAATTCTCAAAAAATAAATATGTTTAATAAAAAAATAAATATTGTTTGAACTATTAAAATTATAGTAAAAAAAAGGAGATTTTTAACCATATTGATGGCCCTCCTTTGTTTCTTCCATTCTACATTTCATATAATTAATGTTCTGATTGGTAGAAAAAAAGGAAATAGAAAGGAAAAAAATAAGAAATAAATGAAAAAATAAATTGATTGATTCGAAAGAAAAACTATTTTATTTATTATTTTTTTCAATTACTCATTACTATTATAATTATTAAAATAAAACAAATAAAGAAAAAAACCCATAAGGGATGGCATGATCATACATACACATGTTTTTTCTTTACTCTGCTTAACTAAACCAATCTTCTATCTTCCTCTTTGGGTTTGTGAACAGAAAATCATACCTAACAAACGAGCATAATTTTCGTAATTTTATTTCCACACGTATCACACTCTTCTTTATACGGCAACTGAAATTGAAAGTAAATTTAAGTTTAGAGGTATTTCCACGGAATTTTCATTCGTCATTGCTTCCAGATCGGGTTTATTATGTGCATGTCACTTTGAAAATATTTTCGATGAATTTCCGAGGGGTTTGTTTATGAAATAATTTTGAAATTTCAATTCTCTTTGAAATTAGGAAATTATTCGTCTCAAACAGTAAGTTTTGCAAAGGTTGATGCGTCGTTTGTTCAGCAACTTATTTTTCCTTCCATGTTTACAAAAGAGGGAAAATGTTTTTACAAATAGAAATGAGAAGAGATAGCTGCTGAATAACATTCCACTTTTGCAAAGTCTGTCTCTGTTTTTGGAAGTAATAGCTTCAGCTGAATGTTTATTAGTGTTGGGCAAGAGGAAAAATATTCGCAGAAATGTCCAGGAATAAGGGGTTCATTCTTCGTCTTATTTGGAACTGACTTCCCACAAAAAAAAAATGATAAGAAACTCCTGTTTCTAATTTCTAATGAAAATCTAAATTTAGCAGTCTCTAAAATGAAATATATATTTAAGTAGTACTAAGACCAAGATGAGTAAAAATATTCTTGTGCTGCAAAGGCAATGTACAGAAAATAGAAATCCAAGAATTAGCTTTTTAAAAACTATTTAAAATTTATTTAGAAGTAAAGTCTGTCACATTCTAGTACTCAACTGATTTCAAAATTGCATAAATCAATAGAGTTAAGAGTGATAGGAACCAACAAAGCTACAAAACCTGCACTTCAAAGGGGTTGTTCATCCTTTCTTCCACCCCATAGAAGCAGGCCTCATAAAAATAACAAATATGCTAGCAGAATGAGAAGGAACTTGAAGAGGCACAAAACAACAATAATGCAACTGCTGATGTAACATTTGAGAACTAAAGAAGATGATTTCAATAATAGAGGTTGATAATATATAATCTGTTGTTGAGGTTCCGTTTTAACAGAATTTCTACTTTTTTTAAGTAAACAATGATTGAGTTATGCTGTTTCTTTTCTAATCATTTTATTATGTGTTAATGGTTCTTGTTGCAGGTGTGATTGCACCTCAAGATTTGTCACTGAGAGTGGTATAATACAATTAATCGTAAAATACCAAAGTTTAAACATGTTACTGAGAGTGGTAAGCAGTTAACAGTATTTGTCAAATTTGTAGTAAATATTCTGTTAGATATTATTGAAAAGTGAATGCTAGCGCGATTAAATTTTAAGGATTGGATTAAGGGTGACCTCAGCAGCAAGTTGGATTAGGGCTTAATGTTTTGAAAGGAAAGTTGTCAATTATTTGTTTGGTTTGATTTTCTTTTGACTCCCTTTTGATTGACATTAACTTAGATAAATTATAACTCATCACAATGTTTTAGCAGTAGCCTATTTATATAAAAAAAAATAAAAGGTATTAACGATTAAAAATATGGCTTCCATGCTATGTTTGTAAAAAAGACGTGGAGAACTAATCAGTCACTAACTGTATAACTTCGCCCTTTTTCTCCTCTTTTCAGACCATGGTATCATGGATTTAAAGCGAAATATAAATAGACATCATGAAGTATAACATCCAATTTCTATAATTTTCTTTATTCTATTTCTATTTACTGTTAAAGATGATAAGGTATCGTGCGCTTTTCTCCATTGACAAAAACAGGTCATGGTGTCCATACAAAAAAAAAAGTTAACGGAGTTCCTTAATAAGAGGAAACTTAATCATATTCCTCTTTTCAATTTGTGTTACATTTTGTAAGTCTAAGTTCACAGAGACACGTTCTGACATAACTGGACTGCAGAACTTTCCAGTTCCACTCATAAATAATCTATGTTTATGATGTGTTTGATGGATATGAATCCTCTCGCAGTTAGTTTCTTACCAGGTCCATGTCATGACAGAAATAAAGACAAAAAGCAACTCAGGTACTTGTACATTATATCCGTAAAGATGGAAGGATATAAGTCCATGTTACAGCAACTATGAGTGTCATGGTCAACTATGAATTCATGTTATCACATAACTCATCAAGCTTTTTTCAATAATCTCTCGTTGTTCACAAGTGAATACCAAATCGGAAAAAAAAAAAAACTTATCAGTATTCTCACCGAATAAATTACCAGTTGAACAACACAATACAAAAGTTAAAGGGAGGTTCCAAGGATACGATACGATGTACCTTGAATTCTTCAAGGAAACTGTATGGAGAAACCGGTACCAGTTCTTGTGATATTGAGAGGGCCAAATTCATCAAAATCAGAATCAGAGTCCATTTCATGGAAATTACCCCACTCACCAGGGGAATTCTCGTCTTGCACTTTTCTGTTGAGAGGAACTTGCAGCTCAGATAACGGAACAGGAAGAGGCTCTTCTTTAAAGTACTTATCATGAAGCAACTCCATCGCCGTAGCCCTCTTAGCAGGATCATAACAAACCAGTCTTTTCACCATAGCCACTTCATCAGTAGACCTATTAGGTAAACAGGCTTCAATACCAGCAGGGTTCTCCACCTTGCTAAAGGAGATTATCCCATAATCAGGAAGTTTAGAACACCCAACCCAAGCGCTCTCATCAAGGTTACCCAAAACACCAATGATTTTACTGAGCTGGTCAATATCAGCAGCTCCGGCAAACAAAGGTTGCAGAGTTAAAAGCTCCGCGAATATACATCCCAAGGACCACAAATCAACCTCCAAACCATAGTCTCTGGATCCGTAAAGCAACTCAGGAGCCCTAAACCATCGAGTCCCAACACATGATGTGAAACAACCAAGTTCTGCGTCTTCCTCTTCCTCTTCCCTATATATGTCACTTGTGGTGCAAGTTGCATTTCCATCGTGAGAATTTGTTCTAGTATCCTCATTATCAATGTCATCTAAAACTGTAGAGTATTCTTCATGATTATCAGAAGCATCAAATCCAGGCTCCGTGAGAATTCTTGCCTGGAAAAATTGTCCATCAATTCAGTACGTGTTTGGATTCACACTGAACCATCCAGAATTTCGTTGAGACGCTAGTTAACCAAATTTTGTAAATGTTCATGTGTTTGGTTTCACCTTTTCAGGAATTGAGTGTGTATGCATGAATGTGTTTGAGTGATTACAGAATTGATTTTGTAAGGTTAGTTTTGATTAAAATTGATTTTAAAGTGATTTATTCCAAAAACAAATTAGCAGCAAAACTCGCTATAAATTCTCATTATTTAATACAGAAGCCACTTAATTTAATTTAACTAAAAAACAATTCCTCAACCTGAAACTAAACAATAAACATTTACCAAAAAATCACATAAACGATTATTTCAGCATTCTGGGTAACCAACGTGCAAGTTAATATTCACTGAGAGTTTTTGGTGTGATTTTGAGTTGAAACAACTTTAGATAATTTTTTTTTTTCATTTTCCTACTAACTTGATTTTAAAATAAAAACATCGAAACATAAACACATTAATTCAAAATCAATTTTACGCAAAATCAATTTTGCAGACACTTGCTCAATCAAGCGCTTAGACATTTAAAATGTCAGGGTTAGGGTTTTGTGATTGTCGAGAATGAGAAGAGATTACCTGTCCGAAATCGGCGATCTTGAGGAGGCCGTTTTCGGAAATTAAGAGATTAGAGGGTTTCAAATCACGGTGGAGGACCATGTTGCGGTGACAGGCGTCGACGCCAGAGAGAATCTGGATCATCCAGCGCTTGAGCTGGCCAGCGGGGAGGGGCTGGTTGGCCTTGGCGGCGTCTGCAATGACAGTGGCCAAGTCGGTCCTGAGGAACTCGAGGACGAGGACGGCATCCTCGTCATCGCGCCAGAAGTACTCATGCAAAACGACGACGTTTGGGGACCCCTGGAGGAGCTGCAACGCGTCGATTTCTCTGAACGCGGACTGGTAGTCGTGGATTTCCTTGAGGGCGACGGTGAGGCCGTCGGAGAGGCGACGGCCGCGGTAGACGTCGGCGTATGCTCCCGACCCTACCCGTTCCATTACCTCGTATTTGGCGATGATCTCGGATCGGGTATGGATGCTCCAGCTCTTTGGTGGAGGGTCCATCTCCATCGAACACCCTCACTCACTCACACTCCTCAATACCTTCGTTCCTCGTACTTTTTTGTTTTATACATAAAGATATAATAAATACACAATAAGGTTTTATCCTGTCAAAATTTTACAAAATAAGTGCTATTTTAGTTTTTATGTTATATTAAAGCTATCTATTATTAATATCTCTAATAATCTTATCAAAGACAACAGAGACTAAAAATGGATGAATTTGAAGATTAATTTTAGAAAAAAAAATGTTACTTTATTTATTTCCTAACTTTTTGTTAATTTAAAAATTTTAAGACGATAATTATTTTAGATGGGAAGTGTAATTTTAAAGTTGGAATCAAAGCTAGATTTAGGAAATCCGTCACAAAAGTTTGATTATTATTGTAATTATTTTTAACCATGGACACGTTATTCCACGATTACAAGTACAGATAAAATATACAACATAATCCATTTATTTCTTTTGTTCATTTCTCTGGGTTCATCTTTTTCTTTGATATCAATTTTGTGTCAAACTCTTCATCCCAAAATTTTATATCATTAGTGCTCCCATAAGCCCTGCTCCATATGCAAAAGCATAGCAAATTAACCAAATTTAGAATGAAAAGTAGCCCATAGTAGTAATCAAAGTGTCCTCTGTTAATATTTGATGCTAACCAACTATCTTTTCCTCCTCTCTCTGTTCCATCTTTGACAACCTTCACAATGAGGCTTCCCACCAAGTTTCCTACTCCAAGGCCCAGGGTACATAGAGAAACAGCAACACTAGACATTGTTTTAGGAAACTGAGAGTAATAAAACTCAATTTGTCCAATGAAATTTAGACCTTGTGATAAACCATAGAGGCAGTATTGAGGCACCAACCACATGGCAGACATGTTCACCACTCCTTTGGGGTTGTCTATAAACCCTTCCCTTATGGCTTCGTTTCTTCTCTTCTTCTCTACCAATGTTGCCACTATAGTGGCCAAGCATGAGATCACTAGTCCAATTCCCATTCGTTGTTTGACAGTGAGTACTCGCTCCTTAGGTAACAAGGGAACTATAAGGCGATCATACACAACCACCCACAGGGTCAAAGTAAGGATAATAAAGGCAGTGAAGCTGGTGGGTGGGATATCCATATTGAACACCACTCGGTTCATGGTTTCTGCCTGGACCACAGAAAATGATTGTTGGCTTATGGTAGTAGAAAGTATGATGCCAGTAGACCAAATGGGAAGGACTTTGATTATGGCTTTCAACTCCTCTACTTGTCTTACAGTACAGACACTCCATGGCTCAATCCCTTTACAGTCCAAATCCTTCTCTTTGTTCTGAATCATGCAAGCCTTGTTCAAGAACCTAGGTAGAAAGCATGACAATTTACCATGAGTGCAGACTTACTTAATCTCTATACAAAGAAAGAAACAAGAGTTGCACGAGATCTTGTGACATGAAATTTATGGTATGACAAATTACTACATACCTTACTTTATCTGTCGGTTGAACAAAGTTAGAGCCATTGTGGAAATACCAAATGTCAGCGTTCTTTGGAGGCAAAGGTAAGTGTCTATTTTTCCAAGCTGCTACAATCACTTGGGAAAAGCCAGTGAGCAAGCTCTTGTTTGGTTTCACTTTGACATATATAGAAGAACCCAAGAAAAATAAGATAGCTGAAAATAACATAATCCCCATGGAAATTCCAAAACCCACAATCCACCCTGCTGTAACTTGAATGTACACTATAAATGTCATTGAAATCGTTATCGAAAGGCCAACCGAAACATAATACCAATTAAAGAAGCTCTTCATGGTCCTCTCGTTTTGTGAGTTTTCAGGGTTGTTGATTTGATCCGCAGTAAAGGCTAAGGTACATGACCTAATGCCACCGGCTCCAAGAGCCATGAGAGCAAGGGAATAGAAAAGAATCAGGAGTTGCCACCCTGTTGGATTTGCACAAGGTTCTACATCACATCGAGGCCTTGCATGCCTAATAATAGCAGTGAGCCACAGCACAAGTAATCCCTGCAATGAAGACAAAGACCAAGATGCAGGAAATTCAAGTAAGTTTTAATGTCATACAAACCAAATAAGGAGCTGATTTTATGGTGTAAGAGTGTGGTAGTATTGGCTTACAATTAGGTGGATGACTGTTCCCAGTGCAATAACACAGAATCGTCCAAGCCAAGAATCAGAAAGAAAAGCACAAAAGATGGGCAAAAAATTGGTGAAGGCATTCCACAGGAATATTACAATAGCTGCTGTTGCAGGGTCAAAATGATACTCCTGTAGCAGGTATAATATCATGTTTACACGAAGCCCCACTATTGCAACCTTTTCAAAGGTCTCGTTTGCTAAAAATATAAAAAATAAACAAGTTGAAAATCATAACCTGCTTAGAACTTTTCATATATATTACAGTAGCAGTAAAACACAAGATTGTGTATGCAGAGAAAAGGGCCATCACCTATGATTAAGGGAATGGTTCTGTAACCACCCTTTTTCCTTTCAACCGGTTCAATGGCTTTCTTTTCCTCCATTGACATCTCAGTTTTTCTTCTGCTATACACATGGAAAGGTTACACACAGAATATTATTTGAAACCATTTACTACAATAGAAAAAAATTGCTTTATATATACACAAACATATGTTTATTATATATGTGACTCCGCAGAACGAAAGGGTAGTTAATTAAGTGTCCAAGGACGGATCAAAGGTTTTAAAGGGTGAATGAAAAATTAAAAAAGAAAGTAATTTATTTCATTTCTGAATTGGCTTTATTTTTTAACTATCGGTTTGATTTTAAATTTTAAAAAAATTATGTATTTTTTACATTAAAAAGTGTTAAAGTTATTTTCTTTGTAATTTTTAAAATTTTGTAGAAATTAAATTTGGTCCCCTCAGTGTATCGAAAGCCTTGTGTATTCTCTCTGTAACTCTTAGCTTCCCTGACAACCTATGACTTGTGTCTAAACTCAAACTACAAGCATAAAAGAAATTATTCGACAGAATTTGAATTTACATACTTGAAAGTATACAAATATTCTTTCACATCTTTCAAATTTTACTCATGTACTTGTAAAGTTTAATGATGATTTAAAAGTACCTGTAAGCTATCATGTTTTGAAACTTAATGATTTTAAATGTGTTTTCAAAAAGCGACACATAAATTATTATAACGTAGATATAAAATATGCACCTTCTAATATCTTATTTAATATTTAAATCATGAAAATTTTAACATTGGTTTTAATACAGTGTTGGATGTTGATCAATGTATTTAATATGTTTAAATAATATATTATTAATAAATAATAAATAAATATAACAAAATAAAAAAATGTGAAAATACTATTTCTAATAATTTGATTTAATATTTATAATACAAATCAAAATTATAAATATATAAACAAGTATATTTAATATATATATATATATGAGATTTTTTTAAAAATACTATTTTATCTCTTTGTTTATCTTCAAAGAAAGTGAATATATTATGAAATATAAGCGATTATATTTATTTTTTAAAAGGCATTTTTTAATTATATAATAATAATTAATTAATTAAAAATATAAAAATAATAAATAAATTTATTTAAAATTAATACAATAATATTTTAATTAATCAAATCAATTTTATTTTTTATAATTTTCTTTATTTCTTTCTTTCCATTATCTACTTTATTTTTATTAATCAAAACAATCTTATTTCTATTGTTTTATTCTCATTTTCAATTTTTTGAAATTTATTATTTAATCCAAACACAAACTAAAATTTTAGATCAAAATAAAAAATATACGTATTAATTACAAAAATTTATAAGGTTAATGACTCTCTTTACCTCCTAAAAATTCTGACTTTATGTATATAAAAAATTAGTTATTTATATATTCACAAATAATTATTATATATTGTTGTGATTTATATTTATGTTTTTTTAATTCATAATTTTATTAGTTTCATAATAAATTAATAATTATATATTTCTTTAGAAAAATGTAATAATTAGTTTTTCTTTACATATATTTTATTAAATTTTTAAAGGATTGTTAGTGGCGCAACTAATATGGTAAATTGTATAATTTATGAATATTTTTAATTAAAAATAATATTTGCATATTTATTACTCTTTGCATCACAAAATAATTATAATGAAAATAATTTGCACATATTAAAAAAAAACAATGAATATTTATTTATTAAAATATTTTTTATTTAAATAACTTTAATTTCAATAATCTGCTGCAAAACAAACATTGACGTCAGTTATTTAGAAATATATTTAAAAATAGTATTAATTCATTAAAATTTAAGAACATGGTCAAGTTATTATTCTAAAATAAAATAATCTTATTTTTAAATAAAAATAAATAAATTTAAAAATTTTTCCTTCTAATCAATTACTTTGGTTCCGTTCCAAAAAATAGATGAAACAACTATATATTAATTCTCACTATATTATTATTATTATTATTATTATTCAATTAAATAAATTTTAACTCTATTATTTTTAATTGTAATTTTTTAGAAAATATAATTCTTTTAACATATAAATATTGGATAATCCAAATATAATTATGAATATCACTTTAAATAATAATAAAATAATATATAAAGAAATATAATAAATAATCTAATATTTTAAAGTTTTAGGTTAATAATAATGAGTTTAACTTAGTATTATCTCTCCTTAATAAATTTTCTACGAAATATCTAAAGAGTAATAAGTTAAGAATGATACAACTGTAAAATTGAGTTTAAGGGATATCCACAAAAAAATTCCAATATACAAAAAATGTACATAATCCAATACCTAATATTTTGAAATTTGAGAATAGGGTTGAGTATATGATACGAGGAATTGAGAATGGTGTTTAGCTCAATGGACACCAATAAAAAAAATTTCCGAATGAGACCCAACAACTAGGTTCAATCTCTTGAACACAATTTTTTATATCCTAAGAATTCGCAGGACCAACTCCATGAAAAGAAGCATAACAAATTAAGTAAGTCTAGAAGAAGAATAAGATGGGCATAGTTTGATGCTAGCCAACTAGTTTTTCCTCCTCTCCTGTTCCAACATTTGTAATTAAAGTTGATTATTGATATGTTTAAATAAAATATTTATTATTTAAAATAATTTTTTATTAAAAATTTATTATTGATAAATTATTTAAGCAAATATAGAATTCATTATTTAAGCAATTATTTAAGAAAATCAAATATAGAATTCCTTATTGATTATTGATAAATTATTTAGTTTTTTTTAGTAATTATTTCTTTAAGCAATTTATAAAAAATAAACAAATTAAAATAAATGAGAAGAGGGAAAATGAGTTTTTTTAAATTTATTAAAAATATTTTTAATGAAATAAAATTAACATTAAGTTATTTAAAAACATGTGATATAATAAATTTTTATTGTACATTTTTAAGATAAGAAGAAATTCATTATTTTATAAATTATTTTTTTTTCTAATACTTTGACAGTACTCACAAAAATCAAATATAACGCCTTTTGTTAAGACCACTACAAAAAATTATCTAATCATTTTAATAATTTTGTGTGGTAAAATAATAAAACAAATAGTTTCTTTTTTAAATCATACTTTTATTATATATATATATATATATATATATATATATATATAAATAAAGTAATTTACCTCATCAGATTTATATTGTTTTTGAGGAGTAGCACGGATCAATCAATTTTTATTTTATTTTTATATTTTTTTAAAATATACTTAATTATATGAATATTTTATAAAATTTATTTGTTAATTCATATTTTTTATTAACTAATTTAAGAATATTATTACATTTACATATTAAAATAATTTATTATAATCCAATTAAAACTTAATTTATTAATATTTATAAATTAAATTATAATATTATAATATATTTATATATTTTAATAATATAAAAAATTATGATAATATAAATTATAACCTATTTTGTTTAAATTTTAATATATATATATATATATATATATATATATATATTAAAAAACTGATTAACAAAATAGTTTGTTTCACCTTTAGATAAGATTAATTAAAATAAACAAATAAATTAAAAACATCAACTTAATTATAGTTTTAAAAAATAATTATACTTAATTGTCAGTCTTGACTAATCATCTAAGTTGAAATACTAAACAGATAAAAAAATTAAAATACTTAATAACTTACTTTTGAGAGAGCATCTTAATTTCAATTCAACTTGCATTGATTTTATTAAATTTACTTTTTAATATTTGAGTATTAATTTTATACTCTTTATATATAGAAGTTTTTTTTTCTTCTAGTAAATATACTATCTACTAATCTAAAGATATTATGATTTTTTGCCATATTAATGGTTCAAATTACTAACAAAATATACAAGAGGATCAACTTGTTTGTCTTTTCCTTCATTTCTTGTCCATCTCTTTCTCTGAAATCAAATTTGTGTCATCGTCTTGATCCCAATTTTCAATATCCTGAGTACTCCCATAAGCCCTACTCCATGCAAGGAAGCACAAAAAATTAACCAAATTTAGAATGAGAAGAAGAGCGTAGTAGTAATCATAGCGGCCTCTGTTGATATTTGATGCAAGCCAACTTGCTTTTCCTCCTTTCCCTGTTCCATCTTCCACAACCTTCACAATAAGGCTTCCCACCAGGTTCCCTACCCCAAAGCCTAAGCTACATAGGGAAATAGCAATGCTTGACATTGCCTTAGGAAACTGGGAGTAAAAGAACTCTATTTGTCCAATCATATTCAAACCCTCTGCTAAACCATATAAGCAATATTGAGGCACTAACCACATAGCAGACATGTTCACCACTCCTTTGGGGTTGTCTATAAGCCCTTCTCTTATTGCTTCATTCCTCCTCTTGTTCTCTACCAATGCTGCCACTGCAGTGGCCAAGCATGAGATAAATATTCCAAGTCCCATTCGTTTCTTAACGTTGATTCCTCGCCCCTTTGGGAACAAGGGAACTAGAACGCGGTCATAAATAGCCACCCATATTGTTAAAGTAAGGATTATGAATGCACTGAAGTTGGTTGATGGAATGTCTATATGGAACACCTTTCTGTTCATGGTGACTGCTTGAACCACAGAAAATGACTGTTGGCTTATGGTAGTTGCAAGTATGATGCCAGTGGACCAAATAGGGAGGACTTTGATTATGGCCTTCAACTCCTCTACTTGTCTCACTGTACACAGACTCCAAGGGTCAGTGGGCATCCCATCACTGTCCAAATCTTTCTCTCTGTTTTTGATTATGCAAGCCTTGTTCAAGTAGCTGGGAAGGGAGAGTCAGATATTGAATTGATTAATGTACTGAAAATGAGGATTAGATCATGGTATGTATTTTACACATTTGTCTCTTATAATACCAAAATCTTATGATTTTTAAGGTGATTATAACAGAAATTATAGTAGTTTGTGATTCAACTACATTAACAACAAATTTAAGTCTCGGTGTTTGTGGAATATGTGGTATGGCAATTGGTACGTACCTTGCTTTTTCTGTTGGTTGAACAATATTAGAAGAACTGTGAAAATACCAAATGTGAGGGTTCTTGGGAGGAAGAGGCAAGTGTCTGTTTTTCCAGGCTGCCACAATCACTTGGGCTAAGCTAGTGAGCAAGCTCTTGTTTGGTTTCAATTTGACATATAAAGAAGAACCCAAGAAAAACATGATAGTAGAAAATGACATGAGCCCCACAGGAATCCCAAAACCTACAACCCACCCTGCTTTAACCTGGATGTACACTATAAATATCACTGAAATTGTTATTGAAACGCCAACCGAAACATAGTACCAATTGAAGAAGCTCTTCATGGTCCTTTCATTTTGTGGGTTTTCAGGGTTGTTGATTTGATCAGCAGTAAAGGCTAAGGTACATGGCCTAATTCCACCAGCTCCAAGAGCCATGAGAGCAAGTGAAGAGAAAAGAAACAGGAGTTGCAATGCAGTAGGATTCGCACAAGATTCTTCATGGCATTCAGGCCTTGCACGCCTAATAATAGCTGTGAGCCACAATACAACTAAGCCCTGTAATGAACATAGAAGACAACATAAAACAAATTCATGTAATTATAGTTCGATAAACAACTTCATCGAATACCTATTAAATAAAGTTTATCATGTAACTGCTTCTCTGTTAGTGATGTTATAAAGAGTACTTATCTGTAACTTGTTTATAGAATCGAAGAAGAAATATACTCTTGTAAATAAATTCTTTCAAAATAGTTGATCTTCATGATTAATGAAGTAGGCATTAGGAGTATTGTAGTACTTACAACAAGGTCGATGACAGTTCCGAGTGCAATAACGCGAAATCGTCCAAGCCAAGAATCAGAAAGAAAAGCACCAAAGATTGGCAAAAAATTAGACATGGCGTTCCACAGGAATATTACAATAGCCCCTGTTGCAGGATCAAAATTATACTCTTGTAGCAGGTACAATATCATGTTCACATGCAGCCCCACATTTGCAACCTTTTCAAATGTCTCGTTTGCTAAAACAAATTGGAAATCATAACCTGGTTAGAACTAAGTTTACTAATCACACAACATTGTGAAAAAGAAAAGGGTCATCACCTATGATAAAGGGCATGGTTCTGAAACCACCTTTTTTCTTTTTACCCAGTTGTTGGGTTGCTTTCTTCTGCTCCATTGACATCTCCATTTATCTTCTGCGATGCACATGTAGAAGTTAGACACAAAATATAGTTGAAGCTGGTTACTAGTTGCTATACAATAGAAGAGCTTTGTTTTATACACAGAAATAGACAAAACCTCTTGTTTTCCCTGCACTATCTCTCTGTTAGTTAACTTTCGGAGCCGGCAAGGTAAACCTCGTTACTATCTAGTTTATCGTCTCATCTTAGTAATTGAAACAAATGAATATTCTTGTTATTGTGCTTTCTCCTTTTACTTTGCTCAAGGGACGTGTGGATGAACATGCATGCATGAAATTCCAATGCAAGATTCCAAGTTTTTAACTACCACGGTTGTGAGAACTTAATATATAAATAAGGATTTTTGCACTATACGTGACTCAATGAAACCAAAAGGTTAATGTAAGTCTCCAACAACGGATCAAAGGTTCCAAAGGGTGAAAGGAAATTTTTTATTTTTTTATGTGATTTCACTTCTCAGTGAACTGGATTTCAATTTTAACAGTTGGTTTGATCTAAAATTTTATAATAATAATTTTGATGAAATTCGTTTTAAACACTGAAACGAATTCAATAGAAACGTATTAGGTTAAAAAGTGTGACTTTTTATTAATTTCGAAATAAGTAGAAGTTAAATTTGATCCTTTGGATGTAACGAAAACTTTGTGTAGCCTCTTATTTAGATTCGGAGTCACATAAATGCCGTATCAACTGATTCCTTGGTTTGTTAAAATAATCATTGCATATATAAATTAATATCTGTTAATTTAATTAGTAATGTATAAATATTTATTTCACACCTTTCAAATATAATTGATTTGAGTTAGAATACGTAGTTATGAACTTAGATTAAAATTAACAATTGATATATATTTTTTTCTCTACTCCAAAACAAAAATTAAAAAATGGACCCTTTACTAGGTATACCTCCTAATTTTATATATCCATGAGCTTTTCACACATTTTTAATTGATTTTGACTAGTATATTAATTACGACTTTTTGAAGAAAAAAATTATTTCTCCTATTTATTTTATCGGTTCAATTAACAAAATTATTAATAAGTTTATATCATATACAAACTTATGTTATTAAAGTTTTTATAACTAAACCAAGTACGGAATTACGGGTTCGCGGACCCCGTAATATATATATATATATATATATATATATATATATAATTTATAAAAATTAAATGAAAAATATTTTATAAATATAAATATATTTTTTTTATCTTTATTTTTTAAAATTTTTATTTATAATAAATATCATTTTTTTAATTTACTTATATTTTTACCATTTTCTTCTTCCTATTTTCAGATTTTTATTTTTATTTTTTTATATTTTTATTTTCCAATTTCAACTTTTTTTTTACATATTCATTTTGTCTTTACACGTTTTTATATTTTATTTTTATTATTTTATATTTATTTTCATTTTCTTATCTTTCACCTCAATATAAAAATTATAAATCTTTTCTTTATTTTATAATTTTTTTCTCTTTATAATTTCATATTTGTAACATAAAATTGTATTTTTTTTTATAATTTATAATGTTTTAGTTGTTTTATCTAATGTTCAAGAAAGCATGAGTAAAAAGTTTTAAAATAAATAAGATACTTTATAATATTTTTTTAAGTAAAAACAAAAAATAAATTTATTTTTTTATTTTTTTTGTTTATTATTAAAATAAATTAGTATGTAGTATAATATAAAAATATGAAATATTGATATATTTTTGTTTGTTATAAATTAGTTAGTTATTTTAATATTTTATTATACTTTATTTTGATGTTAAAATGTAAAAAAAAAAAACAATTTGAGTTTTGTTTCGTTTAGGAAAAAGCTTTATGTCCGAGGTCTTGTCAGTTCTAAAATTCTCGTCGGTTATGATTTTGTCTTTAAAAGATGTTTTAAAGAGTTAAGAGATAATTATGTATATAAATTACTTTTGATTTTGACTCCTAAACGATGTGAGATCCATATGTGTACTTGTGTTTCTAGTATAAATGATTCATCATTCGATTAAACAAACCTATATCCAAATATGCAATGAATTATTTAAACATCACGTGTATTCTATTAACTTTTTACTAGTAAACACCAATTTTTAGATTTATATGCAATCAATAATGATCATTCAATAATTAAGATACAATGTATTTCAATTAAAGGCTTTTCAATTAAAGACTGTTCACATAGAATTTAAATTTTTAATATAATTTGAAACATTTAAAGTAAATTGTGAGAATTATAAAAAAACAATGTAAGCAAATTGATAGAAAGTAAATGTGCGACAAAAGGTAAATATGCAAAGAAAATAATTTGTATAATCATATATATAACTCATTACCAAGGATAAAATATGAATTGATAAAAAAATCACTTACAAATTGCAAAGGAAAATATTTGTCCCTTATTCGTAGCAGTTTTCTCAAAATACAAATTTCTTCGTATAATTTGACAATCACATCTGTTACATTTATTTCACTCTGTTTATATTTTTCTATGTACCGTTAAAACACTTATAAAATTAAAATAAAGCTAAATAAAATACACGAGTTGTAAATAAAAATCCACATACTGTTACTTTTCTATAATTGTTATTATTTTACTCGACCCACTTTGTTGTCATGTAACATCCATAGACGTGTATGTCACATGATGAGATAGTAACGATTTTTGTATATCTTTCGATTAAATAACTTTCTCTTAATGTTTTATTCCTTTAGATTTGTAACCCTAGAGTTGACATTTTCAACTTTTTTATCTTTTCGTCATTTAACTGATCACCCTATACCCTTTCGACTTGATTTCTCATTTATTCAACCTAATCTCTTTTTCAATAATATGTGTCTTCAAATATTTCCTAAGTCTTCGCAACTTAAGTCTTCACAACTTATATCATCTATCCATACAGTTCAACCCCTATTTCTCAATTACTCCCTTCGATATATTTGTAATTTTATAATTTTATCAATAATAACCCGAGACTCGGTTCTCACTCCTACGATGGTGTCAATGTTCTGTATAGGAATAAGAATATTTCGATCTCATGTATGCTATAATAACATCGTCAAGGTCAATTCCTAAGATATTGTCCACTTTGAAACTTTCGTCTGTCATGACTTTTTTTTTCTTAAAAGGCGTATCAGTGGGTTAAAAAGGGAGGATGTATATATAAATTACCATTAGTCTCGATTTATAAATGATGTGAGACTCATGAATATACTGAAAAAAAATTTAAAAATATCTTTAAAAAAATATAGATTCATTTTAAAAAGTAAATAAAATAACTTTAATTTTTAATATTTAAAAAATTTGAATAATAATATTAAACATGTAACATATTTATTTTTATATAATAATTAATTTTTATATATTTACCTTCATCTAATATTTTTTTGTTTTACCAAGCTTATTTTGTGTTTTAGATGCATATTTCATACATAAACCCTATTAAGATTAAATGTTGTCTCTCAAAAAATCATAATTAAAATAACTAAAATTTTAAAAACTAACTATTAGAAACTAATAAATATACTAATAAATAAATTATAATGAACATTTTGTCAATTATAACTTTGATCAGAAGCTCATAGACTTAATTTATGAATAATGATAATTAGTAAGTATTTGTCAATACTAAGAACGATACCCTTTTATTTGATCTAAAACCTTTTTCTATGTTATTAATTAAAGTATTAAACTTAAATATAATTCTTTAACCTAAACTTAAATTTTAAACGTTTGATTCCATTTAACTTATACTCCTCTTAATGAGGAACAATTTTTATATCATAGTAGTTACATGAAAATAACACTTTTTTTTTCTTTTTTACAAAAAACGGCAGTAAAGTTCGATGCTTAATATTAATTATAACTAGTTGGTGATTAACAGATTCTACTTTAACAAATTTTATTATCCAAGTGCCTTCTAAGCAGGCATGGGGATGTTAGCATTAAGTGTTTCTAAAATGATTTTTTATTCTCTAGTTTTATACATAGTAAGATCTTTATAGCTCTTTACTTTGTTCAATATCTTATAATTTTAAAGTGAATGAAATTTTAAAATAAACAATAAAATATATTAATAATATTTTAAGTATGCGATATTTTCAAGTATTTATTTTTTATAAGGAGCCACTATATCAATTATTTGTTATTTTGAAAAATATAAAATAAGATTTATTACATCACATTAACTTATCTTTGATTTTATTATAATATTTTTTTTAATAAATTTTAAAAAATTTATTTTCTTTTATTATCTTTCTTCATTTATTTTATTTTTGTTTATTTTTATAAATTATTTGTTGAAAAAATGATAAAAAATAAAGTAAATTATTATATCACATAAATTTTTCCAATAAATTTTTTAATAAATATTTTATTTAAGTATTTCCTCAAATAACTCATATTAAATATGTTTAAAAAAATCACTTCGATTGTATATGAATATGGATGTAATCAATTTTTTTAAACAAATGCAAGAAAGACTTTTATTTTTAATTACATAAAAATAATTAATTATCCTAATAAACATCTTTCATTTATTTATAACTAATATATTTTATTGTTAAAACAATTTTCAATTTTGATCTTTTATTTACCTTCAGCCTCAAATAGATTAACTTGAGATGAAACCTTAATAATATTCCAGTGAATTATGTTTTATGCAAAGAAATTATTCAATCTCTCGTTTACAAAAAATAACTGTTTTAAAATAAAATTCGAAAAAAATGATGGTGTGTGTAACGTTGATCAAATAATTTTAGTACTGATAAAAATATATATTATGAAGAGACATTAGTTAAATTATATTTAATAAATTTTTCTATAGTACAATTTTAATCAATCTAATTAGTAAATTTTATGATATCATCTTTATGGAAATGTATATAAAAATTTTACATAACTTAAATTTGTATAGATATATTATCTAATGAGTATTGATGTGTTTGGATATCATATTATATGTAATGTAAAAAATAAATAAATAATTTTAA